CAATTGTATCCACTAAACACGACCAACCACGTTTTAATCTCTGCGTTTTTGTTGCATATAAAAATACGCAAAACCAAAGAAAAGAAAATCTAGTACAAACAATAGAAAAACGCTGCGAACAGTTAGAAAATTAAGTAATACACGAGTTATTACAGCGCACTATGAGAATAAGCTTAAGTCGTTAAATTAACGATCATTTAGTAAATTTAACCGCTTTGTTAATTAGTGTTTTATTCATAAAACTGCTAAAGAAGATTTATGGATGAAAATTACACAAAATTTCCCGAAAAAACAAGGTGTTCGGTACTTATACCGCAAGTCAAAGCATAGGCCAATTTTTAAATTTCAATATTTTCAAATTGGTTGATGAAATATAATGAAATATTGAGATTGTTTGAACTAACAAGCACCAATCCGATATATAATGATAGATAGTGTTATGTTACAGATACAACTTTTACAATAGTTTTGCATAATTTAACGCCCATCGTCCAAACTCGCCCAAACTCAAAACTGTAACGAATGTATCGATACTATCTGATAGTAATGAATAATACATGCTATAAATAATGAACCACTACACTTTCTTTTTTGGCAGTTTATTTATAACTGAATGAATCGATATGAAGTAAGAATAAATATTAATATTTATAATTTAATATAATTTAACAGTTTAAACTTTCGATTTTCTTTTATTGCACGTAATAATTTAATTTTTTAATTTATAAAAATATTTATTCAATTTGTAGTGCTTTTAATTTAAAATCGTGACTTAAGTTCCGAATGCGCACGAAATTCACGTCTAATTAGCAATTGGTAATTCTTCTTGAATCTACGAATTATTGAATCACATCGTTAATTATTACGAGTTATAAAATGTGTATATGGAATTGTTCAAAGTCACGAATTTAATGCGCTTAACATTTCGACGTGAAAAAAGTTGCGTAATCTTTTCTTTATACTTAATAATTTTATGATTTGTGATCGAACTTTATGCGAGGTGTTATAAAATTAGAAAAGAACTTTCTTTTCGATCATTAAGCAAAAAGTTACCCAACACGCTCAAAAATAATACCGAATAGGTATTGATTCATTTAAATATTGCCAGTTATTAGATTGAAATGTTTACTTATGTCATTCAATTGTTTAACAATCGTTTAATATGTAACCAGCATGATGTTGCATGTACTTCATCGTATCGATGACGCTTTCGATATTTCAATATCCGATCGATTGTCGAATGCAATCCGCTGATGATCGTATGCGACGAGCATGCAGCCAGCATTCATTTACGATGTCTCCTTCTCTCGATGTGCGCGGCGTTCGGTTCGCAGTCAACCGCGAGTCGCATACCCCGATGTCCTTGGTTCATGTCTTTCAACTTGTGGCCTACTTGCGCTCGGCAGCGCTCGCCGCTAATCGCTAATCGGCATTACATAAGAGCGGCAAAAATTATTTACAAACATCTATTTATAAACGACGCCGTGCGCCGCCACGCACGCAAAAAACAACCAAATTTACAAGGAAAACAACAATCGGAGATTGATTTTTTGAATTTTTGAGTAACTCACGCATGCGCAATGTCAAATAGTGAGTTTAAACAGCATATGACTTAAGGAGACTTATCTTAAGTCAATTTTTTTGTAAATTTTACAATTGAGATGAGATTTTGTGGAAAATATGACTTAAGTCGAGTTTTTAAGTAGACTTAACTTAAGTCAATTATTGAATTTTTGTCTATAATTATGATAATAATCTAGAAATTTTTCCAATTTGTAATTTATCTTCAATGATTGATTAATAAGCAGCTCGCGGCAAATAATTCGCTAACAATTTATCGTAATTTACGTCCAAACAAATTGTTCACGAGTATAACGTGTGTTATGCGGTGTGTGGTGTGACGCCTCCGGCATTTTCATTCACGAAACGCAAACGTGTGTTGTTTTATAATCCGCGCAATGCCAATTCGCAATTTTCGTTCGTTTTTGGCAGTCTCACCCCGAGGTCATCATTAATTTCGCAATTTATCGTCAATTGCGCAATTTTCGAAAATTTCTACGAATACAATAAATTAATTAATAATTCTTACAGCGCCGTGATAATGATAACACAAATAAGTTCTGCTTTTGCAAGCGCAATGTAAACGTGAAGCATTTTAATGATGCGATTAAACAAACCGAGAGCGAGATTGTCAACCGAATTTCGTAATCGTGCGACGACAACACAAGTGGCAACAAGTCAACACACTGAAAAGTATAAATAAATGTTCAGTGGAGTCGGTAGCGATGGCAGAGAAAAGAAAACCGCGTCGACGTAACGACAGAATACGAATGTTGAATATGAAATGCAGAAAAATACGGTGGCGATGTTGTGAATCGTCACTCGCTGCGTTTTAACGTTGCGTTTCGCATTAAACAAATACCAGAATAAAAATAGCTGTCAGTTGTTGTTGTGTGTGGACAAGTCGCAGTCGAGTGTTTTGCCTTGACAACTTCGTGCCCACCAACTTTCTTTTACTGATTATTTTATATAAAAATTTACATTTTGAAGAAAAAAGAGTTGAAATATGTTTTTTGTTAGAAAATTGCTTGTAACTTTTGAAATATTTAATATTTTGTATTCAATTTTACGGTAAAAGACAACCAATTAAATTCTCTAAATGTTTATATCACATTTTATTAATTTATAATAATTTTTATACTAAATATTTGGTTTCAAAGTTGTGATATATTTTTTCAATAATTTTTTGCAACTATTTACAAAATGTCTAATAACTAATAAAATTTTAATAACAAATTAATAGAAATTACATTAAAATATAGCCAATAAAATTCCCTTCAAAATGACATATCGCACAATCCTGTGCGATTATTCTAAGTCAATAATATTTTGCCTTAAAGTTGCAACTCGAAATTTTTTGTGACCAAAACTTGACTGCGCTCCCCAGTTAAGTCCTGCAGTACTCCTCGACAGCGAGTGCGAGTGTTGAGTAGTGAGCAGTGTGACTGCGTGACTGCCAGAGCACAGGCAGTAGTAGTGGCTGTCGTGGTGGTGGCGGACCGCTAGCCTACCGGCTGGCAGCGCGCGCTCGTTCGGTGCAATGACCGAACGCTGCGAGTCAGTCTCAGTGACCCACTTAGCGAACATATGGGGAGACCGGCAGCCTTCGACCGGCGCGAAACGCGAATCGCACGCACGCCAGCCAGCCAAACATTACCGAACGCGAGAGAATCGACGCGCCACGCGATGCAAATGCAGCATGCATGTTGCGTCGACGATGTCGTCCTGCGAGTTTTCAATATTTATACAATACAAAAACAATAAAAAAATAATTTTAAACCAAACAGTAAAATAAAATTTTACTTATTTAAATTTCTAAATTGACATTGGTCGTAAATTAGAACTAATCAAAGTTGAATTATATATAGTTTTATGTTTTGATTCTAAATTTATATCTTGTTTCGCATTCCGAGTGATTCTAAGGATGTTTATTTTATATTCTCAAACTGTTTTGACACGTCAGCCAAGTTTTGCCTACTGGTCTCGCAAGGACTTGAAACACACCAGTGGAGTTTACCCACGCACTACTCCCGAGCACACACCTGCTGCATGGGAGTGAAAAACTTGGTAACTTGGAAACTAATTTCAACGCGCCTGCTATTTTCGTGCCGACGATGGCATTCCACAAATTTGTGCGCTCCTCGAGTTCTCTTAGTGAGATGCACTCGTCGACAAGCGGGATTCAATCATTCCATCGTTTTACGAACCGTTGAAAATTTTAATCGGCGGGAATAATAAGTTTCAATGTACTCTTGGAATTTTGTTGATAATTCTCACAATTTTAATTGTATGAAAATCATTTAAATTTGATATTAAAGCTGATAAAATTCTCTTTAATTTTATATATAACATGATATAGTTGGAAAATGGGAAATTATGATAAAACGTGATTAAAGTAAAATTTTACTTTTTTTCGTGTTTTTGCTATAAAATAGTGTAAAATGCGTAGAATCTTTACTGCCAGAAATAAATTTAAACACTATGTTAAAACTGTTTAAATTCTCTATAATTTGATATATAACATGATACAGTTCAGATATGAGAACTTATCAAAAAACGTGATCAAAGTAAAAATTTAATATTTTTACCCTGTTTTTTGTTATAAAACAGAGTGTAAAACTTGCAATTTTAAACCAATTTTAAAAATTCCTTCTCCCACTTGAAGCTAATTAAATTATCTACAATCCTAGAGATTCTCCCTTATCAATATCCCCTTGCTTCATACCTCCCTAAAGCCGTAAACATAAAACTCCACTTTTTGCACTTTTTTTCAAAAAATTGTGCTTAGTCGTGTAGATAGTATTATGACTCGCCGTAGTAAAAGCATTTTATTTATCTCCACGTACGAGCTCGCGGCTCGCAGCAACTCGCGGCTCGCGTGCGCGTACACAACAATGTTTCGTATGTATGTATGTAATGTAATGCGGGTTCGTTGAACCCGCGACTGCCCCCACGCCGGGCACACCACGCCGGCCGCCCCACTCTCGGCGTTCGGCGTTCTCGTACGGTACGTCACACGCTCTCCTGCTGAAACGAAACGAACGGGAAAAACGTAAGCGCACGTAACAACACAACACATCCACATCCACACGAATACCATCACTATACCATCGTGGACACACGTGGAAAATCACCAAGAAAGAGATGGACGAATAGAATTTCGGCTTGAGTGGTGGGGGTACAGAATCAAAACAAGCCGGTAGAATGAAATTTATGCGAAAAGAATGATTTTTTCAGGGTTGTTTAAATGATTTATCTGATTTGAAGGGTGTTTTGAGTGGTTGGACGATGAATATCGCTTGCATTATCGGTGGCGGCGTTGCGTCGCGACGTCTCCTCGCGAGGCGCGCGCGGAGAGCGGGTGAGGAGCGTCGCCGTCGATCGGGGAGTCGCGCCGCGGCCGTAACCAGGAAGTCGAATCAGTGTTGTTTCGCGTTTGCAGCGCGCTCGTGTGTGGCTCCTCGCTGGGCGCTCTTCGCTCACATGCCGCCTTTTGCACGTGTACCAAAACATCAAAATTTCAAGTGCCGTTCAAATATTTACCGAAATCATTACCGCCTCTAACCGGAAGTGGGAAAATCAAGTGGAAGAAAAAGTGATTTCTAGTGCTAGAGTTTCTTTCTGTCTTGTTTAGTGCCTGATGCCAACAAAATGGATTATAAAACGTTTCGAACTTTAACTTAATCGCTGAAAGGATAATCCGAGGAAATATTCTTACATAAGTGTCATTCATCTGTACACGTTTGGAAATGTTTTAAAATTTTAGTGCTGGTAGTGTGGGTGGAAGCTTGAAAATTTCAAAATTTTACTTGTGTTTCGTGTTGTGTGTGCGATATTGTACAGCACAACACTTCCGCGAAGAGAAACTAGAAACTAAATTATACAATAATGACAAATGCTAACAAAAGTACTAAACTAGGCAAAAATTCAAAAAAAAGGGAGAAGTTTACGCAGTCTTGGTAACAAGTCTCGAGTGTGTGTGAATTTGTGCGTTTTCGCTTAATCGCCGGCCGTGTGATAAGCTACGCACGCCCGGAGAGGTGCTGAAAGTGCGCTAAAAACGCTTAAAAGTTCGCGGAGCGCAGGAGCCGCGTGCGCGGCGACGCAACCGAGTGTTATTGTCTCTTTATCGCGAGCGTCGAGCATAATCGGTCATTCACATTGTTTAAAAATAACCGACGCGCGTGTTCCGCGATCCCGCGGCCGCTCACACCGTACCCAACCGTTTCACATAATTTCCAACAGCGTTTTCGAGCATCTGCGCGGATTTTTTTTTGCCAAAACTTGAAAATTTTCGCCAAAATATACACCGGTTCGCATGGTATGATCCCCGTGGGTAATCACTTTGATTATTGGGATTTGGGTGGTTCTAGGGACGTTATCGGCGGGTAACGATCGGCTTCCCGGTTTCTCGGTTGTTCCTTCGAAGGAACGCGACCGGCTAGCTTAGCGCAAGCGAACGCGTCGAGCGCTCCGGCTCGACCATATTTGGCGGTGAACAACCTCGAGTTCAATGGCTTTCAACCGCGCCTCCTAAACACGAGCCGAGCGCGCGCGCTCGATACGAACGAGGCGAGCGACGACGTCGGCCTCTCGTGTGCATCTTTCTTGGCTTTTCCGAGCATTTCCCGGCGAAAAACACGCAAAAATCAGCTGGTTACGATCGAAATCATCGAAATAATGACTTAAGCATTAACTTAACTTAAGTCAAGCATGCTAGGATATTTCTACAACGCGTAGGTGCATCGTAGGGAAGTAAATGTCACGAGTAGATTTATGAAATATTGTTTTCTATCCATCCCATTGAATGTTATCGGTTTGGAGCTTTTTCGCATTGTTCCGAAAGCCTTTACAGCGTGTTTGAGTTGAGTGTATGTTGACTGTTGGGTTAGTCACTGAGTTCACTTGGTGGGTGGTGACTTAAGTCGGTGAAGGCAAAGTGCGCGTACCGCTGAAAAAAAAAGGCGAATCAAGCGCGGATCCGTTCGACAGCGCGATCGACGGCCCGGCTTGGGCGAACGCCCGAAAAAACGAAATTATTGTCGCCCGGTTGTTGAACCTTCCGCACTTGCCGCACGTCCTCGCGTGCGTAAATGTGTGTGACGCTGTCCGCGTGAAATTTCCTCCTCATTTCGGAACAAATTAACAACGATTTTTTTTTCGCTTCCATACACACACACGAAAAATTTTCAAGTTTCCACTTGGCACCTGAAGAAGATTATTTGCTTGCACTTCAAGGATTTAGAATTCAAAAGTGACTTAAGTACTAATAAAATATCCGTCCAGAATTTCGACTGAATTTTCTACAAATCTACACGAAACAAAAAATAAAAATAAAAGCAAAGTGTGTCTATATGCAAAGTGCGTTTACATCATAGTGTCTTATCTCACCACAAAGTGTCTACACGAGCCGGGGGCGGTTTAAGCGAGCGCGAGTTTCAATTACGGCGGCGCTGCCATGCGAAGCATAGCCACCCGGCTGGCCAGTAGCGTTAAGAAGCGGAGTCGCGTACGAACGTTGACGCCGCCGTCGCCGCCGCCACCGCCGTCGCACGCAGACGATGGACAATTTTCAAGAGCTGTTCAGTGCCGCGGATAATTGGGCCGCGGCGGTCGCCGCCTCCTCGGACGCTGCTGCTGCGGCGGCGGCGGCGGCCGCAGTAGACTCAACGTCACCGCCGCCGCCATCTCTCGCGCACCACCACCAACACGCCCACCAACAACAACAACAACAACAGCATCTACATTCAGTCACCACAAATCTTATCGACGACAAGGAGGAGAAGAAGAGCGCTAATTCTATTAGAGGTATACATTGTAGGAAATGTGTTGTGTTGTATTATGATGCAATACGCATGATTGTCGGGCGGCGTTGGAACAACCATGGAAGTTGTTGTGGAAGGAAAACTATTATTTCGCCATCCGGTTGCGATGCGTTTCGTTACGTTGCGCGAAATGTTACGTTATGTTTACGTTATGTTTTATTGATTTTGTGCTTTTTGTGAGTTTTTATTCGTTCGTAATAACCGGTAATAACCGTTTATTTTTTACGCTTGATATACACAACCATGCAAAACTTTCAGTAACTACTTAAAATTTATGTCTCCAAGAACATTTTGTATATGCTTCTGGTTTTTTTTCTAATCTCTTACCTCCCGTTGCAAACCGGTGCAGCAGTTGCAGCGGTTGCAATTAGTCCGCGCGTTATTATATCTTTTAAGTTAATTAACCATTAGTAACGCTACTCGTATACGCGACTAGAATACCTAGCAAAAGATTGATTAGTTTTAAATGTCAAAATATTATATTTTTAAAGAGAAGTAAAAATTTTAGCAGGTTTAACAGTTATGACTGAAAAAAATCACAGCGGAACAGATTTTTTCGTTTTGTCGCGCTCTGCGTGCGTCACTTGATAAACCGTTATTTCAACACACGAAATAAACGAACGGAAATGACGAATTTTTGGTGAGAGAGAAAAAAATGTGCAGATTTTTTCACGGCTACACGGGTGTCATGAAAAGATTACAATTCCGATTGAATTTGACATTATTAAAGCAGTAAAACAAGTAGCACTAGTTTGCGAGTGCAATTAAAGACACACGAAGAGAAACATTCGAGACGAAATGCCATTAAATGGCACACCAGCCGATGAAATATTACTGTGCCCATATTCGGCGAGGTGTTGTTCACGTTCACGTTCAAGACATTAATTCACGCTAGGCGCAATTCTACCGCAATTTCTAGTTTAATTCGCAGTCGATTAAACCTGCGACTATGAGTATTATAGAGCATTATATTTATTTTATTATTTCTGTTGCAGCACAAATCGAGATCATACCCTGCAAGGTATGCGGCGACAAGAGCAGTGGCGTGCACTACGGCGTCATCACGTGCGAGGGCTGCAAGGGCTTCTTCCGGCGCTCGCAGTCGTCGGTGGTCAACTATCAGTGTCCACGCAACAAGAACTGCGTCGTCGACCGCGTCAATCGCAATCGCTGCCAGTACTGTCGCCTTCAGAAATGCCTTCGATTGGGCATGAGTCGAGATGGTAAGTGAGGTTATGTTGTTATTAATTATTGTGGTTATGTCATGAAATCTTTCAAAATTTTGAAAATTTATGTGTATTGTGCAATTACGTGAAACAAAATACATTCGAGTAGTTCGAACACCTCGTCGTTTGCATTTTATATTTATTGCACGCGCGGATCGCGCATATCGATGTGCTTTATGTAACGTTACGTAACTGACACACGATACGCGATGGCGACGCGCGCGCGCGACGAAAGTACTTTCTCTGCGAGTGCTGCTGCTGTGGCTGATGTGTTTTTAATGTTTTTATACGAACTGTGACGACGAGTAGGAGATATTGATATACGATCGTGATAATTTATCGCCGCACGATAGAGCCGCGCACAATCGATACCCATATAATCGTGAAATTTATGCGCGCTTCGGGTTTTTGTCGATTTGCGCAAATTCACGAATTTCGTAAATCAAACTATAGTTGCGATTTCGTGTTGATGGCCTGCGCGCTATTCATCTGTCATCAGTGTAATGCATAAATTTGCAATACAAATTGATTTATCGACGGCATTATTCTTTTTTTAAATGTTAAAAATTCTTTTGTTTTATTGATTTGCACGCTTAAAAAGTTTTTTATGATTTGATTTATGTCTATTGCACTTGATGCAGATGAATAACTCATCCTCTAAATTAACGCGGCTTAACACTGCAACGGTTGCAGGCGGCGGCCGATTTATGAGCGCTGTGACGAAGTCCTGAATCTCTGCGCGCCGAACATGCCGCCTGCTCCGAAAACGGCACTTAAATCGTTTCAAGCCTGATTTATTGGCATATTAGCGTGATTAGTAGGTCAGGCAGTTGTGTGTGTACATGCAGTAGTGCACTACGCGCGTCCGTTAGCTGCCATGGCTTCAAAAACGGGCGCCACATGTCCGTATTTAAGCACAGATTTGTAGTAACAACTTAAAACCATAAAAAAATTAGATTGTAAGATAGCAACACAAGCGGTACCATTTTTGGATAACTTTTGAGGTGCCATTTGTGGGCATCTGTCAAAATTTAATTTAATTTACTCAAAACAAATTACTTTTGTCAATATACGAGTACAAGATATCTAACATTAAGTTACTTCAATTAAAAAATGCAAAAACATTAATTTTAGGGGGACCGTTTTTTGGGTAACTTCAAAAATCTAAGTTTTTGATGAAAAAAATTTTAATTTTTTATGGCCAATACGATTTACTAGTAATTTTAAAGATTGTACCATTTTTTATTTTCATTTTTTACTCATAATGGCGCTTTTGTGGAGGTGCCATTTTTTGGGCACCACAAAAAAATCACTTTTGGAACCTAAATAAATTTCTAATGACAATAATGATGCTTTTATACATTTTTATATTAAAATAATATTTAATTAACTCAAAACGAAAGTAATTTTGCCTATTTTTGGAATTTTTCTGAATTTTCTGAAATTTCTAATTTTAAAAATGCGAAAATGTCAATAATAATTTATTCTCTAACTTCCCGTAGTAAATCACGCTCAATTTACATAATAATACTCATTCTTTTTTACTATAACATATTCTAATGGACATTTATGTAATTGTACCGGCTAACTGTAATTACACTCGTAAAATCGCGTAATTGTAAATCGCGAGACGCGAATTCGTGCGAGTGTGTTCACTCATTAAGTTAAATATCATGTCCCACATAGGATTTGATACAAAAGGTGATAAAGAACGCACCGTACGTACCTCTACCTGTGAATTCACACAAAAGCACAAGACGCATAAAGCACCCAGCGGTCTCTCACCGCGCAAAAGAAAGAAAAGAGGAACATGGCGGGACGCGCAGCGGACATAACCGTAAAGTCCGTTAAATTATCGTTTCTTTGCGAAGTTTACCAAGTGCACAGCGCATGCGCAAAACCGCAATAATTGACAACAATCACAAATATATATTTAAATGTTGGTTTAGAGAATTTTCGTCGGTAAAACACTAATTGCATGTAATTGCTGGCCAGTTACCTACATATTACTAATTGCGGGTAATTAAAATATTATTCAAATTTAACCCGTGAGTGATTAATCGTTGTGAGTGTGCACATCTTGCGCAATCGGCGATTGTTTCTGTGCGTTCCACTCGTTTTCTGAAAGTTGTAGATTACCGAGCGCTCGAAACAAACGAAAAATTAATATTTACAGCGCGAACCGTTTGCATTCGTAATTAGTGAGATTCGAAAATAGGTCGTACACAATCGCACGCATCACACTTATATTCTGAGTGCCCAGACAAGTATCTTATCAATAAAAATTAATAATTTGTTTTGTATTTAGTAAGGCACCGTCATGCTGGTAATAAAAAACAAATTTACAAATTTTCAGTTTTCATCTGTGTTTTTATTTTATATTTTTTATGTTGCGGTTTTTGTTTGTTGCGCTGTCGATTGCGTAACTCTACTTGATATACGTTCAGTGACTCGAGCGCGAGTGCGTTACAATCGTTACGTAATGTTTGTACACACGATCGGTAGCCGCGTACGTTTCCAGCGAATCCCGCACGGAGGCGCGTTTATAATACGATGCTCGTTGTTGTGTCGTCGTGCGTGTTGATTGCATTTGCTTACAAGTCACCATCGTGCATATTATACATTACTCTAGGTTATTTCAATTGAAAAATGTGAAAAAAATTCAATTTTGGGGGGACCGTTTTTTGGGTAACTTCAAAATTCTAAGTTTTGGATATTAAAACTGCATTTTTTTTATGGCCAAAGTGATTTATTAGTAATTTTAAAGGTTATGCAATTTTATTATTTTCATTTTGAACGAGTAATGGCGGTTTTATGGAGGTGCCATTTTTTGGGTACCTTCAAAAAGTCACTTTTAAATCGTTAAAAAAAGTTAATTTTTTCTGCAATGATGTTTTTATATTAAATTAAACTTTAAAAAACTAAAATTTCTTTTTCGGAGTTGATTTTTCGAGGTGCCATTTTTGGTCAAAGAAATATTTTTGACCTCAGGTCTCGCTGGTAGTCTTAAAATGGGGTTTTGAAACATGCACTTGCAATTTATGCACTGTCGCACGCATGCAGCATGCAGAAATATTCGCGTTCGTAATAAATTTGTCGTTTGTCAATGCGTGTACCACGCACGCCATGTGCAACGCGCGTATACGCAACAAAATTTATCGCCGACCGCGCTCAAAACTTATAAACATGCGTGGTCGCATGCGCACCGCATGCAAATTAATAAATTCACCTTTAAACTTATCACAGCACACGAAACAATACACAATTCAAAGCGCGGCCATATTGCAACGCAACGACACACCTGATATTAAAACTAATGAGGTAGTTAGCGCCCTCTAAATGCTTGACGTCTTGACTACTTGAGATTTCAAAGCAATCAGCTCGAATCGTTAGCACTGTTGCTACAGTTTGCAAAGTTTATATTTTCCAACATTCCGGGACTGAAATCATGGCCCATTGTTCCCGCTGTGTTCGCGCGCAATGGCGACGACATTATCTCGTTAAGCGTTCGTTTGTCCCAGCGCGCATAACTCACTGTAAACCGATGTAAACTAACTTAACCTGCGCCGGTTGTCACAAACGAACTAGTCTAAGCAACTGCAACTATTTCCCGACCAGGGCAGCTAATTCAAGATGGCGAAAATCATGCGCGGAATGTGGGAATAGAGACGATTTATTCAATGACATGTGCCTCGATGCGCTTCGAGCGCGATCAAATGAAGCTGAAAGAATGTTAAATAACGAACGGACGATATGGCGAGTTCCTGTTAGCGCACAGAACAAACGAGCGCCATTGTTCGGCCACGCGGTCTCAAGACTAGAAACGTCTAGCTGTACTTTGAGAGTACAACATAATGTCATCAATACTCTAATTGTTCGGTCGCAAAACCGGATAACTTCTGTGTAACACTATTATAACGTATTTTTGTTCGTTTTCAGCCGTGAAATTCGGTCGTATGTCAAAGAAACAGCGCGAAAAAGTCGAAGACGAAGTACGATTCCACCGGGCGCAGCTGCGCGCGCAGAACGATTCGGCGCCCGACAGTTCAGTGTTCGAGCAGCAGACGCCATCTAGCAGCGATCAGCTGCACCACAACTACAATGGAGGGTATGCATTTATTTCCTAACCAAATTTTAGCTCTGCCAAACTTAATTTGAGAGCCTCGGATTGTGCTTATTGATGTTTCATCGTCAGGTACACTTATAATAGTGATGTGGGAACATACACGCCTACGTACTACACCGGCCAGACGCAGATTCAAACGACGAATTCGATGGGCTACGATATCTCCGCCGATTACGTGGATAGTACGACGGCGTACGACCCGCGGCCCGGAATCGACCCTCTCAGCGACACCGGCAGCCTGATGACAAACGTCGTCACCACAGGTAAGTCTCCTCTGGTACAACCAGTGTAAACAACACCACATCAGATCAAACGTTCAATACTTAGCTATTAATCAAGACCATGTGCCATTCGCACTACATTTTTGCACTCTATCATCTGAACTTGTATACGTAGATTTGTACATACACAAAACTAGGTTAGAATTGGTTAGGTTTATAAATATGACAACAGTATGACTCCAATGACAACAACATTTGAATATTCTATGGGAATTCGTCTTCGTGTGTATGTAATGTTCTAACTTGGTGCAACCATAGGAGATACTAACAATGGGGGTAGTGACCGCGTTGGTGGTGGTGGTGGTGGTGACGGTGTCGTCGGTGGCGGCTGCAAGCGCGCGCAGGCGGTCGCCACCGACGGCAATAGTGCCGGCCGCGTGCCCACCGTCAAGCAGGAGGCCGCGGCGACGGCTGGGGCAGCGGCGGACACGCTCGTGCCGGGCGGCCATGTCGATAGCACCACATTTGTTAATTCACCCACAGTGCAGTCGAGCAGCGCGAGGCAGCAGACCAGTTCGCAAGTGGCGGCGCGCGCCACCGACGACTGCGAACCTGTTTCATTGCCTAGTAAGTTTGTGCCCGAACACAATCGCACACATTACATCGAGCATCCTCATTCATTTTGTGTTGATATTCGATTGTGTATTGAGTTGCCTAACTTATTGCATGTATAAAATTATTTACTAATATTCGTTATCATATTTCATATTTCATATGCTTTCTGTTGCTTTCCTGCTTTTTAATTGAGAGATTATTGTGGTTTTGTTGGTTATGTTTGTGTCAATACACAAAATAGCGTGCAATGTGTGTTGCGTATTAAGCATGCGGTTGTGGTTGCAGACCCGAGTCAGATATCAGAGCTCCTCTCAAAGACAATATCGGATGCGCATGCGCGCACCTGTCTATACACGATGGAGCACATCAACGAGATGTTCCGCAAGCCGCAAGATCTCTCCCGCCTGCTGTACTACAAGAATATGGCGCACGAGGAACTGTGGTTAGAGTGCGCCCAGAAGCTCACCACCATCATCCAGCAGATCATCGAGTTCGCTAAGATGGTGCCTGGCTTTATGAAACTCTCCCAGGACGATCAGATCGTCTTGCTCAAAGCAGGTCAGCAATAAGTATCCATCATCATTTCATCTTCTCATATACGCATCGACATTAATCTATATTCATGATTTTGAGTGTTTATTCGAATGTTTAGGAAGTTTCGAACTGGGCGTAATACGAATGTCGCGCTACTTGGACCTCTCGCAGAATTGCGTTCTCTACGGAGACACGATGCTGCCGCAGGAGGCTTTTTTCACCTCCGACACGCACGAGATGAAGTTAGTGACGTGCGTTTTCGACATCGCCAAGGCTGTCGCCTCTCTGAAGCTTACAGAAACGGAGATTGCTTTGTACTCAGCGTGTGTTCTCCTCTCACCTGGTAAGTCACAATGTCGGTAATACAGAGCTCTATGTTATCAACACCATGGATTTTTAAAAAATAAAAATTTTGAATGATTTTTAAGAAGTACCAGTTTTATATCGAGGAATTACATAAATGTGAATGTCTTTTAGATCGACCTGGACTCAAAGGCGTCGGTGAGATAAGTCGACTTAGCCAGGCAGTGCTGCGCGCGCTGCGAATCGAGTTGGACAAGAACCATACGCTTCCCATCAAAGGAGACGTCACCGTATGTGATGCCCTGCTTACGAAAATACCCGTTTTACGGTTAGTACCAAAAAATAACTTCAATTACAGACTAGTAATTTAATGTTTTTTGTAATTAAAAACAACAGTGAAGTGAGTATACTGCACATGGACGCGCTGGGAAAATTGAAAAGATCTGCACCACACCTCGAATTCCCCGCCTTACACAAGGAGCTGTTCAGCGTGGACAGTTGAGAGGATTAACGAAAGGGAGCGACAGAAAAAAGAAGAAACCGACGCAAAACTCACGCAAATAAATCTAAATAAAAAGCACACACATTTACTACCCCAGTTTCGAGTACGCGGCGCGCAGTAGGCGAGTCTATAATACCACGACACACACACGGTAAGTACCCTCTAGCGCCCGGGGAGGAAGCAGCGCGCAAATCGGAGGGTTTTAGCAACACTGCGAGACGAAACTCACACATCGTTCACTCCACTTACGTGTTACGGAGAGGGCGGCGGTGGAACTTTTCGTAGCGAGTTTTTTTATTAATCGTTCGTAAACTATTACACTTACACACTGTGATCGTCCCTTTCTAATCGTAATCTGTGTGTGTGTGTGTTCGTATGTTGTAGAAATTCCTTCATACTGATTGTATCGGCCTTAATATATTAAAACACACACAAAAATAAAAACATAAAAACACAATCGCGAATATACTGCTTGGATTCAAGCGGGAGAAAAGAAAACACGTTGTTGTGAATAGAAATTAATTTAAACGCAGATCTCTATTACTTATTACGAGCGATGTGAGATTTTTTCTTCCTTGGCACGACGAGGCGCTTCAAAAAAACAAGAGAAAAAAAAAATACTAAGAAAACTGCTGGACGTGTGTGCGCGCTTGAGCCAGGCCCTGATTTCAAAGTACAACTTATTTGTTTGTTGTTTGTTATTACTTATGAATGAATATATATAAACGTTTAAAATGTAATCTATTTATACACACACACACACACACAACACACACGCGTATATACGAATGGGTTTAGGAGTCAAGTTGTCAAGTTTAGTCACATAACCAATGATTGAGAATCCGTAGGTGCTGCCTCGTCGTCCGCGGGACGGAAAAGTCCCGCAGTTTGTTTTTTTAATTTACGTACTCACGCATCGTAATCTGCCACTTAAACGTAAACCACTCTATTACATACACTCTAATAGGTAAAAAACGCAAGAAAAGTCTACAATACGAGAAATTATATATTATATATGATTAGGGCGTAAATAAAACTGTAAAATATATTAGCGTCGACAGTGGAGGTAGCCGCCAGGATTTAATTTCCGATAAATTTCGACACGTTTGGCTTGTTACGGGTGGCTACCTTCAATTGGCGATCATGTTCATTCGATTTGTACTACACAGAGGACACGCGCGCGCGACAGAAAGCAGTGAACCACACACACGATGAAAAAAAAAAAACAAAACGCGAAGACACACGACGCGAGGAATGAGGTTATGTTTAATTTTACTACGTTTTTTTAATTAATTACATGGTGGCGAACACGGTTTTTTATAAATAACTATAAATATTATATATAAATATATATATAAAGAAAGATAAACAGAGATGTATATGTATAAAATATATGAAATAGTATATAGAAATATTTATGATGAATAGATTTATATGATTTTAGTTTTATTTTGAATAATGTTATATATTATATATAACAAATGGAATAAAAACAAAAAACAAACGAGGTGCATTATGAAACTTGAAGACAAATTACGTAAATTTTTTGCATTTCGCGATAATGCTTCAAAACGAAACGTATAAGAAAAAGAAAAAATGAAACAAAAAATGAGATTGACAGAGTTTATAATAACACTTTATATATTTGTTATGAATGCAAATTATAAACAAAAAAAAATTAATATGACTATGATATGACTTAAAACTGACGATCGGGCGTGCGCATGCGCGTCGATCCGCAACGGTACAAATAATAAACACAAAAAAAAACAAGAATGAAACAAATAACAAATTTACATGATTGTTGTACAATATGATTATATAACTGCACTGCATTATTGTGAATGATGAGAGATGCTATTTATTACATTTACGGTTTGATTCGTCGAATTTATTCAAAATAAAACGCTAAAATACAAAAGTAAACTAGAATTCTAAGATTCTAAGGACGCAACACAGAACTGGATGACACACTTAATAAAGATCGGGGTGATAATATAAAATGGCGGACGATGATGTGTTTGGTGAACAAGATGGCGGTCGGGTTTGGGACGCGCGCTTTCGTTTCGCTTTTTGCAAGACGATCGCTTTCGTTTTCAGCACACACACACACATTCACACCACACACACACATCTACACCTGTACAATGTATAACGGACCGCTTCGAAACGACGCCAGAATAGTTCTATATTACAATACGATTATTAAAAATATATAACGTTAAGTTAGATTTATAATTAATGAGATATGGCAAGGCGAACATTTTGATGATAAAAAGAAATTTACTGATGAAAACACACAACTAAAATTGCGTCAAGCTTTTTTGTACATGTGTTAACCATTGTTGAGCGTGAATATTGTCAATCGTTCTGTGTCAAAAGAGAAGAAAGTCCTTGTTTTATATTTAATTTCGTATCATTTTTCTTTTTTGTTTTTGTTTTTATTTATATGTATATGATGTTAAAGTAATTCGTAAACGTACTATAAGTTGATTTCGTGGAGCAATTTGAATGTGTGTGTATGACAAGATTCGTGAATTTCAAAACATCACACGCTGCGCAACAATGGTTAACACATTTATTGTTAGAGGCTATGTTAATTATTGTCGACCGTCGATAATTAAGCTTTACGATCCGAAACGTATCCAAATTACGTGTTCCCGTTCTTCTCCTTCGCCACGTTTTCGTTCGGATTACTTATTCTTCCTGCCACCACCTTCACTTTATCACACACACCCGTTGTGTTCCTTTGATTGATTTTTTTTTTATATATTTTTTTTGTTTTACACCGGTTCTTATACTTTTTCTGTGCGCGGCTGCCCTGTTTAATATTGTAAAACGTAATTCGGTATGATTTGTGGTATTGTAAGATAGCCTATTTGTATAAAACAAACAAAAACACATTTTTGGGAAAAAATGAAATGATGGGGGATGGTTTAAAGCTATTTGTTAATTTTTTTAATGCATAAAATTAATTCAGAACGAAAAATATAAATATTAAAAGTTAAAAACCGAAATTGTTTAATTTATAGCAACTTAGACTTATTTAGAAACAAAACCGGAAGTTGACTTAAGGTAAGTAATATTTTTAAATGCAAAATAAAATTTTATAAGTCGTCTGTTGTCAAGTGTCAAATAAAAAATAATTTTTGAAAAATGCGGGCGAAAAAATCGAATCCAAATCTTGGCAAACACATTTGTACCTTAGATAATACAATCGCCGAGGCATTTAGACCCGAATCCTACCTAACCTCATTCAAACGCACGCTTGAGATATGGAAAAGTAACCCGAATGTAAAATATTTCTACCTTAGCCCCATTCAAATTGAAAAAGAAAGAAAAGGATTCAAAGAAATTAAATGTTCTTGGTTAATAATTCATCCATTTAGTTTTTTCAGGTAAAACCTTTTAAAAACACTAAAAAACTAATAAAACATTATTTTTTTACTTTTTATAGATTTGTCGCTAATATTGTTCACATGATTATTATGTTCCTTGGATTTTTCATCATCCCACTAAACTTAATCTATGGCCCAATGAAAAACTCAAGAATAGTCCGTGTAGGCCTAAATCAAATAACAGAATACTTAGAAACATTCTTTGATGCTATGTATTTACTCGATTTTTGCACATTATTGATAACTGGTTTTGCTGATACGAAGAATCGAAAAGTCTACTTGACTCACAAGCAAATCATACGCAATTTGACATCGTCAAAAGAATTTTACATAGATTTAGTATCACTTTTAAGTTTTATTCCGTTTGTGAAACTTTACATGGCTTTCGTTCGTCCGGAAGAGAACATATCATGGATCATATACATCAAAGTGCTAACGCTGCTGAAATACTTTCGTTTGAGACGATTATTGTTTTATTTCAAAATCGTCACTCAGTATAATAACGAATTTTACTTCACGGCGGCTGTGATTAAAGTCGTATCACTTTGTATGATATTTATACACTTATTTACTTGTTTCTATATTATGTTGGAGCAATATTTGATGGTTTACGCTAACGGATTTGAGGATGATATGACCGTGAGCACTTTTAGCTATTCTTTGGTCCTGCTTGAGCCTTATCTTGACATGTATCTTACTCAACTTTATTTAGTTTTGTCTTATTTGTTATGTAAGTATAAATTTTTAATTATTTTTGTTAAAATATGATTAAATACTCAATTAAAGGTATTACAAGAATTAAAAAGTATACTATTATTCATAATCTTCAAGTGATATGGATTTTTGATGCTTGGTCATTTATTGTATTGTCTACAGTAGGCATTATTGTAAGCAGTATCATACTAAGTAAGTTTTATTAATTTTTTTATCAAAATTGATTTTTAATTGTAAATTTTTAAGTTTTGGGTGTTCAAATGATTGTCCTGCTGAATTCATCAGAGATAAAATATTACGGTGTGATTAACCAGTTGAAGCACTACATGAAGATCATGGGTTTTCCAAAATCTATGTGCAGGCGAATGTTGGTTTACTATGACTATCGCTTTCAGAAATCTTATTATCGAGAATCAGTCATTCAAGCTCATCTTTCTAAAGGATTGCTACTTGATATTAATTTGCATTCATGTCGTTCGCTTATTGATGTAGTGCCGATACTAAATGAGCTTCCAAGGGAAAGTCTCAACGAAATAGTCAGACATTTAAAATACCAAGTTTTTCTTTATAATGATACCATTATTCAAGCTGGTGCTCTGGATAATTGCATGTATTTTATTTCAAGAGGTACTGTTGCGATTACAACACCAACTGGCCGCGAGGTAATAGTATACTAATTGTTATTTGTTTGTTTACTAATTGTTTTTATGAAATTAGATTTGTCATTTGCAAGATGGCGCATATTTTGGTGAGATAGCTCTGATTTTATCTGATCAAAAACGCGCGGCGAATGTGACTGCGATTGAGATTTGTGAAGTTTATAAACTGGAACGCAGCGCATTTTTAAGTTGTTTCGAAGATACGTCACAGTTTTATAAGAAAATTGAACAAACCGCACATGAGAGACGCGAAAAAACTGAGTTGTTAGAAGAGTTGCACCGGAAGTATATGTTGGATCGTACAACGAAACGACGATTTCGCGGGGCTACATCAGGACTGGGTGATAAGAAATATATAGTCGCTGGGACACATACTGATCATTATGATCTACACGCTAGTAGATTCAGAATATAAAATTCTTGGGCAAGAATTGTGAACTCAAAAGTTACAGATTTAAAAAGAGTAAACATAACCTAAAATGTTATCTACCTAATAGAAAATATGTTTAACAAATATTTTAATATTATTGATTTGGAACCTGAAACAATAAAATCTGCACAAGACGAAAATTGTGGTGACCATCCTCGGCAGGCAGTAAATAAATGTCCCTACCTAAATAAAATATTGCACTAAAAGAAAAATAAATTGAAGCGTTGAATCAGGTCCTCTCCAAAGAAAACAGCCTCCCTCATAATTGGCCCTTTGGTACCTAATGAAGACTACCCAAACCTAGATTCCCAGAAAGAAAATGTACTCACTACTTAAAGACATCCGGCGTTTCTAGCAATGCTGGGTGGACTATCCCTGAACCAAGGACCTAGCCCCGAGTGTGTCTCCCCTTCGGCTGTCACATACGCAGCAAAATGCTTTGCGCATCCGCCAGTCAGAGGCACTCGTGACTACCCTCCGGTCCAGGTCATCACCACACCTACCTTACATCCGGCTCCTAGAAACTGGGATCCTACGACTAGTTTCTCAGGAGGAAGCGTCGATATTATCCAAACTTGAGTTCAAACGCTGGTAGGTTGCTTGTAGTAGACTCACCCTCATCTACCCTCGTGGAATTGGAATTGGAATGTCTTTGATGGTCACTAGTGTTTAACAGACACTTTAAGAGCGAGAGACGGATTAGTATTACGCGATACTGATTCGGATTTTTGTTACTATACGCGGCACGCACTCGTTTTGTCGGAAATACTGATAAAATTTGAAACGTAAAAGCGCACTGATTGTCTTTCGATTCTCCTTGGATTGAAGTCAGGGGATTTGACCGCGAGTTGATAAGAGTTAAGTGAATCGCGACGCGAACCGCACTCGATGAGTATTTCGTTACACCTCTCCAGGTCAACCGATATTAGCGTTAAATCTGCTGTACCTGCAAGGTAAATAGTTATTAGAGAGATAGGATTGAGTTAGGATTTGGTAATCTGTTACTTTGGATTGGAAAAAAAAATTGTGGATTTCATTTTTGAAAATTAGTTTAAAAATGTTTTTGATAAGGAATTGAATAGCAAACTAAAGTAATAAAAGTAATTTAAATAGTAAAATGAGTATTTGATATTAAAGGTAAAAAGAGAATAATGGCCCAGAGAGAAAAAGGTATCTGAAAGCAAATATTAATTAATACATAACCAAAAATCGAAAGCGCCCGAATTACAAAAATTTCCAACTAGAATCGAATATAAACCTGAAAGACAAGCAGAAAGAACAATCAATACATATTAAAGACATTTTTGGTTTCTGAAAATAATAATAAAATAATAATTGGCGTTTGTATTACCTTCTCTTTGTTTAATGCGCACTTCACTTCACTTCACTTCACTTCACTTTATTTTAAATTATTATTCGAACTGCAATAAAGTAGGGATATACCAAAAAAATACCTTACGTGTACTAGAGAATTTCCTGTACATTAAGAATCTTCAATCCGTTCCTTTCTACTATTTTTAGTTTGGGAGATACCCGCAATTGAAATATTGATAGAAAATGCATTTTTTAATAATCTGCAAATATACAGTATTAATATATACGAGTAAAGTTAAAGGATTCAAAATATTTAAATATGGCAAAGTTTTACTTAGCGTGTCACTTCGTATAAGAATCTTAAAATATTTACATTTATCAAATACATCGCGCTTAGTTATTTTACTTATTGTATTATATTGCAACGAAGTAAAGATAGAAGAATGTGAAAAGTAAACAAACAACTGATAACACGCGCCGATCGCGCTCACCTTGCCAATGTAACAGAGGTCAGTGTAGCCGAATTACGTACGAATACATTGTATTTTAATACATGCAAAATGTTTTAATTTTTATAAAACCTAGTTAAAAATAAATTTATAAGTCCGAAAGTATTAATTATGTGAAATTATACCTGTTACTGCAATTAGTACTGAGTTGCACTTGATCACAATAATATTCTGAAGATTACTTTTATTTTCAGTGATTTTAACGTTGAGCTGTGCGCGACACTCGAAGTGGTAACCGACTGAGAGACGCGTCAGTGCGCGATGCGTAATGCGCATCTCTTGCAGCGCAGTGCAAATGTTCAAATCAAAACATTCGCGTCTTGTTTTGTTTTCGTGCATTCGCACCGATTGAAAGACAGCCAATAATAAAAAGAGAACGAATAACTGATAAGACGCCGAATCTCATGATGGAATGCAGTGTATTCAAACAAACAAAACACGAATTCGCGTTAGAAAACAACCCGGTCGTAACATACAAAATGTATGCCATGTTTAGTTCCGAAGTTGTAATTTTTATATTACGAACCACCAATTTGCAAACTTTGAAGTATAAACTATGAGAGGTCTTACTTATTCCTACGATTGGTATTGAGTTGCACTTGATAATACTAATTTGCTATGAATTAGTTTAATTTTCAGCAAGTTTTGGTGCAGAGATGCCTGTTGCACTGATCGCTGCAAAACTGAAAGACTAAATGACCGTTGAACGCTCGCTGCGCTAGAGTGCAAGGTCGCACTACTGCGCTGCTCTTCTACTGACGCTACCAATTCAAAAACATGCGCACACGACGCGCAGACGAATTGTATTAAAAGATTCAAAATATATATAATCTACAATTTTCAGGTTGCTATCTCTTTTAGTTTAGAAGATATTCACTGTTGAAAATCGTGGAAATAAATTACCAAAGTCCCCTTGGCCCTGGTCCATTAATTCGTATGAATTAAAATGTTATCTCTTAAATTTCTACCGCTACCCTCGTACGGTGCCCTGAATGGGAGTCACTTCTACCGCTAGCTTCATGGCGTATCTTGAATAAAGTCACTTCTAGCACTCCCCTTGTACGGTGTCCGGAACATGAGTCACTTCCACGGCTACCCTCGTACGGTACCCTGAATGGATTGGGAGTCACTTCTACCGCTAGCCTCATACGGTATCTTGAATAAAGTAACTACTACCGCTACCCTTGTACGGTGCCCTGAATGGATTGGGAGTCACTTCTACCGCTACCCTTGTACGGTGCTCTGAATGGATTGGGAGTCACTTCTACCGCTAGCCTCGTACGGTGCTCTGAATAAGTCACTTCTACCGCTAACCGTCGTCACCCTCTAGGTTCTCCTCTTCTTTTCCAATAAGTCTTTGGTGATTCGTTGTAGGTCGCACAATAGAAATGTCCAAACTGTTACTCCTACTATGTTCTATTCTCTAAGAATGAGAGGAATTAATACATGAGTCACTTCCACGGCTACCCTCGTACGGTACCCTGAATGGATTGGGAGTCACTTCTACCGCTAGCCTCATACGGTATCTTGAATAAAGTAACTACTACCGCTACCCTTGTACGGTGCCCTGAATGGATTGGGAGTCACTTCTACCGCTACCCTTGTACGGTGCTCTGAATGGATTGGGAGTCACTTCTACCGCTAGCCTCATACGGTATCTTGAATAAAGTAACTACTACCGCTACCCTTGTACGGTGCCCTGAATGGATTGGGAGTCACTTCTACCGCTACCCTTGTACGGTGCTCTGAATGGATTGGGAGTCACTTCTACCGCTAGCCTCGTACGGTGCTCTGAATAAGTCACTTCTACCGCTAACCGTCGTCGCCCTCTAGGTTCTCCTCTTCTCTTTCTATAGATCTTCGGTGGTTCGTTGTAGATCGCACAAGAGAAATGTCCAAACTTCTACTCCTACTGTGTTCTATTCTCTGAGAATGAGAGGAATTAATACTGATAAGTGCATCCTAGCGCCATCTTACTTCGAATTCTATAATCAATTCTACTTTCCGTGCTGTTCTCCAATGCTCCTCCAAGGTTCCCCAACTATCTAAATTATACATGATAAAAAATATGACATGATCACAAGTACAATGTAAATAATATTCATTATTTTATTAAATTAATACAATAGACACCATGCAATATGTGAATAAAAATTATTTTCCTCATTAAATTTAAATCTGCCTCGAATAAATTTTCTCCTAAACATTGAATCAAATACTAAAGGTAATATATAATTTTCAGTGTGTTGTTGCATCGACTTGAACATTACCTACATAAATAATATCTCTGTGATCTATAATTTCATCTCCACCTGTTATTGTTTTCTCTTCATCAAATATATATTATCGAACGCAAAAGAATTGTAATTCATTGTATGACGCCACATTTAAGCCGTCGATGAAACAGCCAGTTTCTTCAGATGATCCATAAACACTTGCAGAGACACGTCATCGGTCAACACCGGAGCACCACCATCCTATCATCATAAAATATTAATACATTAAATCACAAACATCAATAATCAATCAATCAAGTGGTTAGCAAGCAGTGAAACGAAAAGAATTAGAAACAATACAAGTAAATCAAATAAATAGCCCCACAATAAAAGACACCGCGCCATTTTCATCGTAATCGATGAAGCAAACATATCATAAAAAAATTACCATTGATGTCATCGTGCCTGGCATACCCTATTTTCGGAATAATGGCGGAATGAAAAAAAAATCATATCATACCATGCAAAACACGAAAATGTTTCATAATCATAACTTACCCCGCCATAGGCGTACATATTGTTGTGGGTCTGGCTAGGATTAACCTTGGAGAGGAGGAATCTAGCCTGTGAGCCACCCTGTTCAGTATCAATGTAACGAGGCATCGGGAAACGCGTAGATAAAATCTCCTGCGCGTCATCAACGGGTGCCTGGAGCAACTGCCGGAAGTTTTCGTACTCTGGCATGTCTTGATACTTCAAATTTCTCCATTGCGCAATAGTCTACAATAAAAATATTTAATAAAACGCATAAAACAAAGATTTTTGTTATAACCTCTCCGTGGAAAATTAAAATCTGGAAAAACGTGTCCATAAGCAAGATTCTATCCGGTTGAATAGAGCTGGTATCTAACAAGACAGGTTCAGGTGGACCATTGAAGCTGTAACTGTACAGAATCGGTTGGATCATAATCAGAGACTGTGTTAAGTCCTCTCTCATCAACATATGGCGATAGTACGAAGTCTCATCCGGAGAGTTATTGAAAACTTGCAAAAACTGCGAGCGTCGCAAATGGTACATGAATTGCGGATACAGACTGAAGTTTTCGTTCAGACGGAAACTATTGGGGTCGTCTTTGTTGTATTCTCCAAATCTTTGACACTAAACACACAAATTTCACCTGTTAAACATTTTGCAGCAAAAAATAAAATAATTTCATACCAATCTAATAAGCATGCGATCAACCCATCTAAGAACATCTGGCCCATCATCAGATTCCGCCCTGTAGACAACCATACGTGACATCATCACCGCCGCTGCTTCCTGATCAAACCCAGCGCTGATATGATGAATATTCGCGTTGGCATCCGCCCAATTTCGCGCAATAGTCGTCACTCTAATCCTCCTCTGTCCGCTTGAATGTTGATACTGTGTTATGAACTGAATACACCCTCTGCCACCTTGTGGAATAGGCGCAGCGTGTTGATTTACAACTTCAAAGAACAACGCAATGGATGTGCTCGGATTCAACGTGCACATTTTCCATTGAACAGTGTTACCCATACCGATTTCTGTATCACTTACAAGTGGACTTTTCACATTCAATGAAACACAGGACCCAATACCGCCTTGTACCTTTAATTCTCTAGAACATTTCACTTCTAGAGTACCGTTAAAAGCCATTTTGAGATCTCCTTTGGCATCTTTAGCGAAAACGCGCTGGAATGTCTGCTTGAAAAGCGACGAATTAAAAGAATCGCCCATTACCATGTGACCGCCAGTCGAATTACAACATTGTTTCATTTCCATTAAACCAGTCTGATCCAACGCACAAGAATAAATATCTACGCAATGGCTATTGCTAGCCGCACGCATCGCAAGCGCTTCGTAGTGTTTAATCGCTTTTTTCATATATTTCGCGTTATCTTTATGTATATCGTGATGGGAACGAATCGGTTGTTTCAAATCGTCATTGACGACTTGCCCGGGACCCTGCGAGCACGACCCACCCAAAAACATCATAATCCTAGCGCCTGTGTTAGCATACGTGCATTCTAACAAACCAACAGCGATAGATAACGCTGCACCGGTTGATCTCAATGAGCGCTTGCCTTGTGGGACTGGCCATGGATCTTTTTGCAGTTCACCGATGAGATCAGTCAAACTCATGTCGCATTTCGCTAAGGGTTGGATAAAACGATTCGCTGGTGGTACGATTTGTTGCTGACCTTGTGGACCACGCATCTGCTGTTGTTGCTGTGGAGTCATTGGTGATACTTTACCGATACCCAACATGTCTTGAATTTGTTTCGCGGTTAAATCTTTCGTTCCCCTGAAAACGTAGCTCTTGCTGCAGCCGTCAGTGCCAAGTTCATGAACCTGCACCATTTTACCAAATGTAATCAAACCTATGAGCGCGTTTGGTGGCATCAGACTGAGGGACATTTGAAGAGAATCTTTCAATGCACCAAGTTCTTCATCATCCATGCATGTATCCACAACATAAATGTAGATTGGTGGCATGCATTGGGCTCTGGTTATGGTGTATTCCAATGTGGAGAAGTTGGGCATCAACTCAGCTGGTTGATGTTGCTCAGAAATAGCTGCATATTGTGGTGGAAACTATAAAATACTTGATAATAATAATGCAATGCTTAAAATATTGAATTACTCACTGGATTTCTCTGGAAACAAAAGTTGCAAACCCACAGCTTGGCTCTGTAGTCAACCTGACAGAGAGGATTTAAAATCGCACGGCAATTGTTCCGTGTGCAGAGGACCGGATCATATTGAATCACCGGCAGGTCCGGGCGTTCTTTTAAGGGTTGATACAAGCAACCCAAAGGAACTACAAGTCTTGTTGCTTCAATTCTACTTGATGGCCAAGCATTCCATGTTAGACGCACACCATCCCGGTCCTCGTTTTGTTGGATATATTCATCAAACGTCGCCATCTGAAATTAACGATTTAATGGGGTGCGTTAGGAATTATTCATGTTTACAACCCTATTGAGTGTGAGGCTAGAGTACGTTTAATCGTTTTATAATGAAGATACAAGGTAGTTTGAAGTAAATAATGATTAAATATACGTAAAATTGTTGTTCTTTTACCTTGGTTTTGTTTTAAACACGATGGTACGTTGATTTTGTGCAGAAATTTCCGCTTTTCTGCGAGAAATTTTCAAAACACGGCACCAACTCCACGTCACCCGTCGCTCACTGACGCAAATGACAAAACACGTAGATTGGTTATAACCTGCGCTGCCAACTGTCAAGTACGAAACGCCGCAATAAAATTAAATATTTACTTATAAACCACGTCACTAAGTAAATATTATATTAAAAACTTAATAAAACAAATAAATATTAATTAAAATATACTAATAAACCTGTTTTTAGCTTTTTTCCGCGTCCTAAAACTAAAAACATTTAAATATTTCTAAACGTCACTTCGACACGTCACCAGTCCTAAACCAAAATCACTAAACATTATTATAAATTCATACACAGGGTGTTAAACTTCTCCCAAAATGAAATCATCCGTTATGTAGTACCAAAATGTGTTGTAGAAGCTTTAGGAAATTCAGAACTACCCAATTTTAGTGGAGGGGTTGATCAGATGTTTCGGCTCCGCGGCGCCTGCCTCTGCCGTTGTAAACTGACGCGCGTGTCGACCGGCCAGCGCGCAACAATAAATAAAATAAACAAAATGGCGCGCCGATAAACAAACGACGCTGGCGGTCGACGTAGACAATTTCAAAACGTCGTCGCTGTCAGGCGTCTCGCCAAATTCTAGTCACCTCCGTGCGCGGAAACCCACCACGCTCAGAGGTTTAGATATGATCCGGATGTGATAACGCGTTTGCTCGCCTACCCCTAAATGTAAGTACTCCACATCGTTTTATTTCACTGCTTTTCTAACCTTCACAAATTCATCATACAAACACACACATAAAAACACACAAAAATCCTAAATGAGTCACGCTTATAAAAGAAGTGCATACAAACATTAATTGAAAAACGTGATTGCGTTTTAATTAATTTGTATTAACGTGGCGCATGGATAAAATCAGTCGGAAGGAAGTCGATGTGTCAATCAATCGTTTCCCCACTCGTGCATTATTAATTCGAATTTGTTACTCCCAGAAAAAGTTTTTTTCTGTGCGTAGTTTTATTTTTGTTCATACTTTCTAATGTCCAGCGCAACCGATTGCCAGTTGGGAGCGTTCGCTCGTTGCGCGTGCACGCGTGTTTCATTTGTTTCTCTCACGAATAAAATAAAACATGTGCTTTATTCACGTTTCACGGTCATCATCAAACATTACCTATGTTTGAATGTGTACAGAAATAGCAGACACGTGCGATATTGACGAATTAACACCCAACACAACACATTACACGGTGATTATAATCATAAACATAACACATTGTAACCTAACCTCAAATATAAACTATTTTGTGGTTTATATATGAGGATATGTTGAAAATATTGCATGTTGAATTTTGTAATATTGTATCATGTCATGTCACATTTGATTTTTGTAAGTTGATATCTTTATTATCGTTGCGGTACGTGATCGTACGTGCTCCAATTTCATTCCATGCGTACTATGTCATTTGTTTTTCGTACTTATTACATATTTCCGCACAAATAAATGTTATTAGTTTTTGCAAAAAGTTTTCATTCGACTGGTTCAAGTATGTGAATATATAGTGCTCTGTGAATATATGTGCTGTGTGTATTTGTATTGCGTGAGTAACACATTTATTTTGAGGCTTAACGGGAAATTGTCGGAATGGTTGGAATAGTCGAAAAGGGCAAACAACTCGCGGCGTATTCGGCGTATTGCTTCGTAATTGTCTCCGATTCTCCAATTCGGGCGAGGCGCAATCCTCGTAAAATATGCACGAACGCACGCGATATCAGAAAAGATAACCGACGCCCGGCCTCCCAAAACACGTTTAATTGCCGTTAATTTTTACCTCTTTCGGTTTTCGGTGCAAATATAGTCAAGGTGAGTTCGGGTTTGCCAATTGAAACTATAGAAACTCCACTCGAGTGCAAGAAAAGTTAGAAAAAAGTTTCGCTTGGTTGGTTTTGTAGATACATTGCAAAAAAATCTGCGGTTAGCCGCACGAAACAAAATGGAAAGTAATCGTGCAATTAAAAGTCTGATACGAACGCCTCAGTACTCACAGCACAGGATTATATAGTTACGGTATAGTTATTTATTAATTACTAGAAAATCAATTTTAATTTATAAAGGCCTTGAGGTAATAGTAGTTTATTTGCACTTTGATAACGCCGTGTGGAAATATTGATTTTAAAGGTGCACTATGAGGATTTATTAAAAAAATATTTATTTAGAAAATAAAACCTAAAGAGAGTTTCGTATATCAAGCGGAAATAAATCGTTAACGTGCCGGTATTAGGGAGAAAATAATCGATAGCGACATGAGGGCATGAACCACAAGGCGGAAGAAAACCGCTTTCGTATTTACATAAGTTGCTAATCGATTGTGTTACACTTTTTTTTTATTTTCAGTTTTAGTACAAAAAATCCCAGTAGCGAATTAAGCATGGACGCCAAAGCGAAACTCGGCATGTCCAGAGAGAACTCGTGGGGTGACATCAACCTCCAGACCACGCACAAACCCGGTTTGACTGATCTACGCCCGTGAGTATAAATTTTTCCAAAAAATTCAAAATAAATCCAAAATCCTTCCTATTTCCTTATTTCCTTAGTGCAAGTAAATCTTCCAATATCCGCCATCTTCATTCACCGCGCGATCCTCATTCTTTGATGCTGAAGACCTATTCCTCGGAGTTTTTCGAGCCGCCGTCGTTACCCGCGCTTAGGGCCAAACTGGCCGCAGCTAAGCAGCTGGCCAAAGAGCAGAGGTACCACCTTATACAAGATCCACTTACCACACCACATCCATCACAACATTTTGAGTTAGGACGTAAAATTAAAACGGTGGATATTAACGATTCCGGTGACTGTAACAAAGATGGCGATCGGGATATCCAGAAGTTAAGTCTGTTGTTGATCTGTTTGGTGCGTTTGGATAGCGCGATGTTAAGATTTTCGATCTGTGATTTAATTCGCAAGGCTGAGGTTAAAGTTAACTATGCCATTTCGAGGTTAGAGCAGTCAAAAACACAACCTGTGTCGTTACTAGAGGATTCCGGTGCTTTTTGTAGTGCGTGCAGTGTGAGCATGCGCACTAGCGCACAAAATTTATTAACTAATGTACAACATGTTGATTCTGTCGTAAGATTTTCACTTGTTGTGCATAAAGAAAGTGAGATTATAATGAGTAATATTCCTGTTAATGATGAACCTGAGGAGAAAATAGATTCTGACTTAACCTCAAATTTAGTTAGCGTTGATTTGGGTATTTTGTCTGAATATTTAGGCAACGATTTGAATAAAAATACAAATAATAAATTAATTCCCTTCAAAAGTACTGAAAATAATCAAATTTGTAAGAAAACCTTCCCGAAAGTAGATTCCAAGATGGCGATGATTGAACTAATGAAATGGTTGCATGGAAATAATGCGTGTGCGTATCCATCGTTAGCGAGCGCCTTTGCGCAGGTAAAAATCCAGATTGCGCAATCGAATTATCAACCAGTTCGCTGTTTGCCATGTAACCAAGTCGACGAGTTGGCCCTTTTAGAGCGACGCATTGCCGAGGCAAACAGTCGCACGCGATCTCTCAGCTCGTGGTTTACGCGTCGAAATTTCGAGCGCGTTTATCTGCCCGTTGTAGAAGTGCCTGTTTGTAATCACGTACAGAACATACCGACATACCACGACTGTCTTACACAATGGAGGGATGTAATCGATCGTTTTAACGAAACTTTGGGAAAGATGTGGTGGCGAGACGTCCCGGGCGGCATTAATAGGTATCTTAAACCTAAATCTCCCACACAACAATTAAATACATCACAATCCATACGAAAAGTACACAAGTTTGGTTATGTTCAGATTTTAATAGGTTATGTTGTGTGTTTGCTTGGTTGCAGAAAACAAAATGATGCGCAACTCACGGATTCGTGGTTGAGTGGCGGAACATTTGGTTCAAGGTCATCGGTGTTGGTGTTTCGAAGTTCTGCGCTGGCGCAGGCTACTGATGCGGATATCGCATCGAAACCGGGACACAAGTTACACATTACGTTCCGCGTGGTTCAAGCCGAGACGAAACTTTTAGCGAAACTCCTCGAATGTCATGGCATTAATGAAGCATCACCCGATTCGAACGATTATAATATTTTATGGACTGGCAGTCATCCTAAACCAGGTACTAACTCTTGACACATTGCGTGACCGATTAATCATTTCAAATTTCTCAGGAATTCTGCGCTCCATGGCACCGCATCAACGCGTCAATCATTTTCCTCGATCATATGAGCTCACGCGTAAGGATCGGCTCTACAAGAACATCGAAAAAATGCAACACGCGAAGGGCCTCAAGCATTTCGATTTTATTCCGCAGACATTTCTCATGCCTACCGAATACAGGGAACTTTGCACGACGCATCATCGCGTTAAAGGTCCCTGGATTGTAAAACCAGCGGCGTCAAGTCGTGGAAGAGGAATATACATTGTTGAGTCACCTAATCAGGTCCCGATTGAGGAACCAGTGGTTGTTGCAAAATACATTTCCAAGCCTTTGCTTATCAAAGGCCATAAATGCGACCTTCGGTTGTATGTGGCGGTGACTTCATTTGATCCGCTGTTGATTTACATTTATGAAGAGGGAATGGTGCGTTTTGCGACCGTTAAATATGATACCACTCACAAGCAGCTGTGGAATCCGTGTATGCACCTTTGTAATTACAGCATTAACAAGTACCACAGCGATTATGTCAAGTGAGTGTTTAAATATTTACGTTTGGTAAATATACAGTGTGTGGTAATTAATCTAGGTCGGATGATCCGAGCGCTGAGAATGTCGGTCATAAATGGACTCTGAGCGCGCTGTTGCGACACTTGAAGAGTATTGGGAAGGACACGGCTGCATTGATGACCCAGGTTGAAGATTTGGTCATCAAGGCGATTTTATCATGCGGAAATTCGATTGTTACAGCTTGTAAGATGTTTGTACCGAATCCGGTGAATTGTTTCGGTACGTCGGCCATTTTTATTCTTTAATTTAGGTTTGTAACCTCTACGTATAATTTTTGTGTAGAATTATACGGTTTTGATATACTCATCGATGAAAACCTGAAGCCATGGCTGTTGGAAGTGAATTTATCACCTAGCTTGGGTTGCGATAGTCCGCTGGATGTTCGATTGAAGTCGGCCATGTTGTCTGATCTTTTAACATTGGTGGGAATACCCGCAGTTGATCCGATAATTAAACCTACCAGTCCAGCTACTACGAACAGTTCAAAGTCTTTGAAAATGAAAATTAGTAATGTATGCACCGTAAAAATATGTTTTTTGTATTTTTTAAATAGAAATTTGTTGGTTTTTCGCAGTGTCGAAGAATTCACTCAGCCGATGGCCTCAGTAATCACACACTGCCAAAGAAAGCTAGCAAGGGTTCCATTTCATTGTCTAATTCTTCGCTAACCGCAGAAGATAACAAAATGGTGAAGAATGCAAAGAGTCAGTTTCTACGAAGAGGCGGCTACGTCCGTATATTTCCGTCTGTTGATAGTTGGGCTAAATACGGCCAATATTTGGATGCAATTAGTGGCATTCCTATAGCTGGTAGCAGTACGTCAATACCATTCTCATTTATGGGCCAACACAACAACAATCAAATATTGTACAAATCCCTATATCCCGATGTAATTATTACCCCGTCGGCGCAAACAGGGCGGCTGGATAAGAACTTCCGAAGCAAGAGAGATGGTTCTCTTGATAGCGTGAGGAGATGCGAAGCACCTGTCTCAACACCCAGACAGGATAGATATGAGCGTAAGTTGTCACAAGGACATAGATCTACTTTAACAGCACCGAAGAAACCTCTGCAAGAGGATTACTCGGTGGAGTTGAAGCGGCAAGTGTGTGATATGGTAAGAAACGGCAAAAAGTTGTCACAAGTTGAGGCTAGGAAAGCGTTTAGCCAATATTTGATGTGCGTACTGAAGAGAATTTCTACATCGCCTGATCAAGATGGACACATTGAAATTGTCTTGAAATTCTTGCAAAAGGCGTCGACATATTTGAAGAATCCGTTCTACGTTAAAGTAAGTTTTATTATGTAAGAATAAAGGGTTGTCTGATTATGTGGAATTACTTTAAAGATTCCGGGTCATAAACTATCTGAAAAAGATCGCGCCGCCATTGTTGCAAAGCAGTTAAACGACTTTCTGTACCTGTACAATCGTGAGACGGAACAGTATGCCGATCTGGACCGCCCCTGCAACATACCCAAGAACGTTTTCAACGAATTTTTGGAGCATTCGAGGTGAGCCGCTAGTGTTGTCCCACCACGTTTACGTCAGACTATTAAACTCCTCCAAACTACTTGCATGTTTTTGCTTTAATTAATTTTGTGTGTCTTCAAAGTGTTTTGTTGCTTGTTTATGAATAGCGAAAGTGATCTGGAGGAACTCCTCATCCTCCAAAACATGCAAACAGTGCCAAACAGCAAGGGCAGCGACACAAACACGGCGACCAGCTTCCAGGGTCTCTTGCGATGCCTGCCGAGCATTAATTCCATTTGTTTCAGCTCACCAGAGGCAGCCAAGAAGCCGGTGAAGGTTACACCGCTCTCATGATTTATTTTTCTATGACGTCTATGTGTTAGATGCGTTCCTGTGCACAGTCTAGTCGCGCTATGCGAATTACCCAGATTGCGCGTAGTCCAAAAGTACATTTGTACGTTTTACCTTAGCTAACACAATACGCCATTGCGTATATAGGATACAAAGTCACGCGAAAATGCATGCGATCAAAGTTTACAATTTACACGTTCATTCCTTTCTTAATTATTAAGTTGATTAGTTGTTTTAGCGATTTGTTTGTGATATATTTGAAGCGAATATTGATGGGGCTGCTTTTTGATTTAAGTTCTTTAACGAAAACAAGTTACCATTTTCTTAAAGATACGTTTTTGTTTAACTTATTGTTATTTTTTGCACGAATTTACTGAAACTGTACTTATTTTTGTTTAGTTTGATTTGAGTTCTGTTTAATATTTCGTTAGTCACTGTTTATTCAATGTATCCATGACATTTTTATTGCATTTATTTTTTGTTACCTTTTTTTGTAACCAAAGATTGAGGCTGATCTCATATTTTGGTAGCTTATATTGTTTTGTTTATTTATTCGTTTGTTCTGAACAAAATCTTTCCTTCCACACTCAAAATATTATAAATATGAATCAAAATGAACTATGAAAGGAAAGTACAAATACAATTATTGAAGAATTTAAAATAAAACCGATAAGATTGTCCAAAGCTTTCGCTTTCGATTGAATTTGTCACGTTTACTAATCAGATCAAGGGTGATAATTAAATTAGGCGCACGAAGTGGACGTATGCGCCATATTAACTCTTAACAATGAATTTTACCTAAGTCTAAATGTAAATGATAAACTTACAATGAGTGTTTATGAATTATCGGCTCTAAAATTAGCTTTAGCAACACGTGGAATCTAATTTATGCAGAACTTTGTTGAAACTTATCAAAACAGCAATCAAATATGATATTTTTGTATGTTTGTAATCCGAAGCTGAATCTTTGTATATTTTCAAAATGGCGAACGTAATATTAAGTTTATTATGTTATCCAGGTTAGTGTGAATTAATGTTAAAAACAGTGCGTACTTTCCACGCACGCGTTTTTGATATAAACAAACACCAAATAGATGTTAATATTCATAACGAGCGCGTTTTAGTGTGCGTCCGCCATTAACTGCATATAGACAAACATTTGTAAAAATGCACAGCGTTTAGATTTCGCCGGCGGTAAATGGCAAGATGAAAGCTGGGAAATTGTGATTGTATACACATTGCGTCAATTTGGCGATTTCCTAATGTTTTTTTCGTGCCGTTCTCGCTGTTAAATCGCCATTAAACGAGTCAACAGAACTAAATTGATCCTAATGCGTATTTATCTTTGCTGGAAAGAGGAAAACTTTGGCGATTGGGCTTTAATTTTATGTGGATTTACATGAAAACAAACTTGTTCGCTTAAACTTGACCCAAAATCGCGAGAAAAACACAAAAATATTTTTTTATTTCTTATTGCACACGCGCATTAACGAAAGCACATATTGTGATACAAACGCAATGGCCTACAAAGTAATAGTCACAAGAAAATTTAGGTCTTAGACGCGAAAAGTGAAAAATGTAACGAACACATATTGCAATCACATATTTTTTTACTCTCTTCGTAAGCGATTTATATGTATGTAGTACTTACAAGCTGTGTAGACATGTAGAACATAGATTTAGGTACAAAAAAAAACAGTCAGCAATATCAACAGTTGTAATCAATTTTCCGCGTTGTCGTGTTCAATAAATACTGTTCAGGAAAACCGCTTCAATATGCAAGCGGTTGAAAATAATTGAAAGCAATTGCAATAATAAGCGAAATTATTGACTTTCGCACACGAACACAGTTGAATAACGGCTCTTAAACGCACACGCATTAAATATTTATAACGGTCGTTCGGTTTATTTGAAGAAACTTGTATAACATGCAGCAAAAAGCATAAATTCGTAGTGGAAAATCGAGAAATGAATATTTGCCTATCGATCCAGTACGAATACATAAAATGGATGTGTTTGCGATAGACAGGCAACCCAGTGGCGGATTATGCTTCAGTGGGGCCCTAGGCGCAAATCAAGTTTGGGGCCCCTAAATCCGAAAATTTTCAAAAACGGTTATTAGCCCAGTAAAATTAATAGTTTTAGCGTACGCGCGCCGCAAAGTCTACTTCAACATTCGTTTGTGCCAAAAACTCATTTCCACACCACCATGAGGTAGAGTACGTGGCGCGTTTTTTTTTTATCGTGGTATCCCCAGTAGGCTTAATCCACACGCACTATTCCAAAATTTAATGGATTATCTTCCGATTCGCTCTTCGCGATGGACCAGGTGTTGTGCGTTAATTGTTTTCAGGACCGATCGAAATATCACAGGTAAAATTTTCTGCCATACTATCCGCGATGGGATTATCGTTTTCAATGCTATCTTGGTTCTCGAGTTCATCGTACGTGTGCACAAAAACGGTAATCGTATTTAAATACAAATTACAAATTTTCTTTTCTTGTCTTCTCTTGGGCGAAGATTTCAATAATTTTGTCGTACTTTAGTTTTTTTAAAATATCATTTTCTATGAACATTAATGCGAAGTCATTTAAGTGCTCTTGTGAAAGACTATTGCGCAGATAGTTTTGACTCGTTTTAAAACTGAAAATGTCCTTTCTCTACTTGCATTAGAAACGGGCAAGGTCAAATTTGCAGTATTGTGTGTATATTTGGAAAAGTTGATTTTAGACCATTACTTAATGTTGCATACATTTCATGTGGATCCTTAATATTTTCTTCTTGTATGTATTTTAGAAAATGAGTTAACTCATCAGTGAAATATTCTGGCTCAATATCTTTTTCATACTTAAGACAATAATCGCTCTACACAATTATTAGTCTCAACACGGCTTAATTTTAAATCAAAGAACATTTTTAAATCGTTAAGAACTTTCATATAGACATCGCCCCTTCGAGTAATTTCTGATGTTAATACATCACATACAATATAAAAAATGTTGACAATAAAAAAATTTCTTTACGAAAATGCTGTATCATTTTTGTTCGTTTCATCATATGGATATTTGCGTTTTCTTTGTCTCATTTAGCCTCCTCTTCAACAGTTTCGAAATTATTTCTGACCTCTGTTATAAATTCGTTTAATGATTTTAATAAACTAACACTATTAAGAATATTTGTCTTTGGTTCCTGTAAGTATTTGCTGGTAATTTCGATTCTCTGTAGGAGTTTGTTCCAGAAAATTGTTAACAGTGCCGTCTCAAATTGATCGAACTCTTTTGATAATTTTTTTGCTTCTAATTTTGAAATTGGTTTTCCTTTTTTTTTTCATTGATACCTAATTGAGTCTTAGGGCTAAAACAGCGTCAGCTCTTGCGGCATACTTTTAGATACTTTTAGAATTCTTATCCTTCATACATTCAGTTAAAATATTCCACCGTCTTGTAGATGCAGCAAAGAAAGTTATATATTTTGCAAAAACATAAAATACTGTAATGCTCCAGAACAAGATTCCGCTGTAGTATGCCCAGCCAAATTTAAAGAATGACTTCCACATGGTATGAATTCAGCTGATTTGGAATGTTGTTTTATGCGTGCCTGTAATAATCCACTGTACTTGCCAGTCATGTTAGCAGTGTTATCATAAGATTGGCCCCTACAGTTTGTGATATCTAAGCCATAATCATGTAACTTTCTAAGTACAATATCTTCTAACGACTCACTGACCACTCTCTGTTTTTTTTAATCCAACTGCCACCCCAAAAATGTAGGTAGATAAAAATTGTTGGAGGATAAACGTTGGTACAACGTGTTCCGCAGATGTGAAAAAATGATAGAAAGACGAAATAATTAATATTCCAAAAAAGAGAGTTACCCGCTATTTTACAACCTCAATGGAATATTCCTCAACTCATCTCCTCCACAGATGTTCGAAATTTAAAAAAATTGGCAATATACTACTCGCATTATAGCTACAACTTTCTAACGCAATATTCAAGAAAAGGTCACAAAAATTCGTGGCAGAAAACATCCAAATTTTATTTTAAACAGTTTGCCATAAAGAAAAAAAATCGGAGATAAAAAGTTTTAAGTCAGCTATATATCCGTGACGGTTGCTTTGCGGACACGTGTGAAATGCCGTTTTGGACGCCAAGTGAAAACCAATACGCTATACATAAAGGCTGAGGTCAAAACCAACTGATGAAGTATTTGTGGAATTACTATGTCTATATGGGACATATAAGTGCCAGGGGCCCCCCAGGCAGCCGGGGCCCTAGGCGCGCGCCTAGTGCACCTAGGCCGTAATCCGCCACTGAGGCAACCTAATACACTTGAAAATTTTCCTCGGCCGCCATTTTTTCTACCCGATTAATGGCATTTCCTGTTTATTTTATGAGTTAACTTAGTTTTGATGGTAATGAATGTTTAAACATAGCTTTCTTCAAATAAATCGTTAGTCACAAGTCACAAAATTCTAAATCCACGTTTGAAAAATTTGTCTAGAAATTAACACCAAATAGCATGATATGCTTAGGTTTATTTACGTGTGGAGCATTTGATTTGTATCAATTTGAGCGTTTAGCGTCATTTGACGTATACTTGAATTATAACACATCAAAGAACAAACATCAACAACATTCTAAATAAAAATAAAATTGTGTATTGATTGTGATTGTAAAATATTGTTTTAATGTGCACGCCATATTCTAAATTTACATTATGATGGTTCATTGGCAGGTCGTTAATTGTGATTATCTTTGTGCATGCGAAAAGTTCGTAAATTTACCGAAGTAGAAATTCAATACTTTAACGATTGTGTGCGTTACTCGTACATGTAACGCATTCTAAAAATCAATTTTCTGTGATTACACTACAATTTTCCATGGTAATGTTTTAATTTAGTAATGCAACACAATATACGTGTGATTCCGATGTAATGAACAGTGGGTGTCGTTCATTTTTTGTCCGCCTCCGTACGCTTTCAGTGTTTTTCGTACACGGCGTACGTAAATCGATGAAAAAGACACGCGAATCCTTAATAAACCCGAGCCTGTGCCGGCGTTCACATACGTCCGGCTATTGTCCATCCATTAGCGTTACTATATTCCGTGCCCTGGACATTTGTTTGGTGTTTGGTGTTTGGTTTGGAAAAGCGGCGTTTGCGAAGGTCACTTTGGTAAAAGCAATTGAACTTCAGGAAATTCGAGCAAACACAAAACCGCGGCGATTCGGTCGTAATAGAAAATCGAAGTCGAAGTCAAGCGGTAACGGTTGGCAAATAAAATTAAATAAACAAATGAAGCGCGTAAAACGAGCGGAAGTAAGAGCCTTGCCACCGCGGGAACTTGAAAGCGTACTGAACGCCATTACGACATGCATCGACACATAATTATTTATATTCGAGCGACGTATGTTTGACTTTTATGTTCTTTCATGAGTTCAAGTTTATTAACAACGATAATAGTGTGCTTTATTAACGAATTCATTCCTGGTAGCAATTTTATTTCAACTTGTCACTTATAAACAATGAAAATGTGGAAAACGTGAGTTTTACTCACAACTGTTGGTTTTCTCACCGGTTACAATGTAAAGTTCACAAAACTAACACTTGAATAACATTCAATGCACATATTATTATTATACTTACACGCAGAAGTACGTGACAAACAATTGAAAGGAAAATCAATACGAACAATGATTTTTTTGGCTAACAAACAAGAACAACAACAAAAAAACGAAAATATATTATATGTGATTTTCCAGATATCATACAAAACCCAAAAAAATCCAGTTACAAATGAAAATACTAAATATTTAATTTGAGTATTGCATGCAACACAATTAACATGATGGATTTGATTATTTGGTTGCCTAATATACACAAAAAACTATTTCTTAGATCAGTATCAGTCTCGCATGCTCTATTAGCCTAAATAAATATGATTAAAGTGTGATTTTAAAAATACTTAGTAGTAATCCTAAAATCTGCTTATATCAATCAACTCGGTGATATAAATACGAGATCTAAGCTTAACCTTCATGTCGACCGCGGCTCATCGTTTTATTTATTTGAGTTTTCTGCATCTCAAAACAAACGCGGCGTTTATAAAAAGAATAGCTATCAAAATGCCCTTGATGTATGCTAAAGTTATGCAACCAGATGTACACATATTGAATTAATCGTATACTATGGTTTTTATTATTTACCTACCCACGAAAAGTTGGAAAATTCGGAAAAGCACCGCCGCGGCGCAACAGTTCGCTGCGTCGTGTAGTATTGCGTTGGGCGTCGCGACGCGCCGCGTCGGGCACTCGGCCAAACGAGCGTCGTGCTTCGAGCTTCGCGCATTGAAAATCCGCATTGAAAACTCGAGACAAAAGCTCAATTATTACGTGCATGTGACCCCTAACACACTGCATGTTTTAAGACGCGTTTAAAACATTTAAAGTAAAATACTAAACAAAAAAACAAGAAAATTATAACTATAAATATTAAATAGTAAAAAGTTTAGTTTTGCGTCTCTTAAAGTGAAAATTTCGTTTCGGAAAACATGTGCTAGTTAACGATACGTTTGTTTGGTGTGATCGTCGTCTGTTTAACGTCGCGTGTTTCATTTGTTTCGACATTTGCTTTCCACCAAATTATTTTTACCTTTGCGCAGACAGCGGGCTCGTTGTGTGTGACATTTACGGCCGCAAAGCAATTATTTCTACCTGACTCATCATTTGCTGCGACATAACCTATCATATAGACTAGTAGTGAGGTTAGGTGTGTGATTTTTGAGTGAAAGTGCAGTAAACTTCGTCAAAATTTTCACCACAACGTTATTGCCGCCCGGGTCCGGTGAGGCGGGCAGTAGACGCCCCAGCCGCGACTACAGCAATCACCATCATCATCTTCTGCAACAACAATCGCCACCAGCGCAGCACCAAGACCTCAGCATGCAGAGAGTCATCAGTTTACAGACGAGCAGAAATGCGGATCGTGGAAGTAGTGAATTCGTCACTAAACGACTTTGTTGTAGTTTTTTGTTTTCTGTTGCATTTCTTTCACTTCTCGGTGGTAAGTTTTAAAAATTTAACGATTTATATCAAGAGTTATATAAAAATGGCTTCCCTAGGATTTTTACTAGGTCGTTATGCAACCGATAGAGCAATCCTGCTGAAAAATGCAGCGTTGCAAGAAAGACAGCACACTGAGGAGAAATTCAGTCACGATATCATGAACAATCTGACGTCGCTGATGAACGACATCAATCGCTCCATCAGCGACGCCCACATCACCGACTTTAATCTCTACCTGCGGAAGTTAAACTGCACCGACGCTTCATTAACCACCCACCACAATGCAACGCATTTCGACGCCAACATGGCGACTAATGTAATCAATTTAAAAACCACACAGTTCCTAAACGGCCATCTTAGGTTACTAAGCGCGTGTTTTACCGACATCTATACGTATCTAGAGGAACTACCACATGATCCAGGGAATAAAGATACGGTTACGTCTATTAAGAGCGATTAACGATGCACAAACACAGTTTTAAATCAATTGAGATTGATTACGCGTTGTTTTCGTACGCTGTGCGAATATTTGTGAAGATTTACGAGTGATTTGGTTCAAAATGTGTGTGAGTTGTATACGATTTCAGCGTGTACGTATATGAAACGATGAAGTTATTGGCCAGTAGTCGATAAACTGAATTTATTGCGCTCTACGCGTCCGACGCACGGAAATTTTCAACAAAGTCGTAATTAATTCAGTGTATTATCATGCCGTTAAAATTTATCGACACGTTTTCAAACAGAAGTTACGCTCGTGCAGGTCGCGTGCAGATCGTGTTAATCATGTATGATTATGATCAATGTTTTCATTATGAGTGATGATGTTACCATAATAAAACAAAATTTGTTTTGTGTATATTATAGCTTTCCACAAGGTGGCGACACTTTAATATAGGAATAACTTTAGAAACACAAATATTAATAATATTAATATCAATTTATTTATTAATATTTATAAACATATTAAATTATTAATGTTAAACATGACTATATTGTTTATTTAAAGTGTTAAATATTTTATTTTACCAAAAATGGAAGAAAAGTCAATTTTGTAAATGTTGGCAACCCAAATAACACAACAACAGAAATATACGCACCATTTTTTGTATTGTTGGAAGTTCCATGACTAAAGTCACTTTTATGCATGGAAATTAACTTTAAAATAGAGTCGTAAAAAGTTAACAGGCTATAATACGGCAATGAATGTTAAAAAAACTATATCAATTATTTTTTATACTGCGTTGACGTTAATAACACTAGTTATGGCATAATTATGTACTTTTAATGTTATCAAACCAAGTATTAAGGTTAATTGATTCTGTTTGTACAGATATATTACGAAATAAAGTTAAATAAAAATTATCAGTTTAAATTAACGTTTTAGATGGATTTACGCGTCCAAATGTCTGACAATGCAGCGCTCTGCAACAGAACTTATAAATATATTTGGCTGGTGTATTTTTAATCTTATGGAAACACACGAACAAAGTCATAAAACGACACTATTTTTATTTTACAAGCGTTGTTTCCGTTTTTATGCAAAAATTTAAACAATAACAATAACTGTCAAAATTTTGCTAATAAAAACAAACAAACATGTTAATTTAACAATTAAAGTAATATATTATTAGATTAAACTATGAAGTCGAAATTTTCCCGATTATTTTGTTTCAAACCTCGTATTTTCTCTTCACTACAATTCGGTAATGACCCAAAACGTTATTATTCCTCGGTAATTGTAAACTAATACTAATTGTCTCGTCAGTCCAGACTGTAGTGAATTATCGCGTTATCAGTCTGGTTTGGCAACTGCACATTGCAAGAAGTCAAGACTTTTGAAACGCACACATTGATCGTTTCGGGCGTCGTCTGTCTAGTGATCTATGACACGTGTTGTGATCGTGAATAAATAATAATCTATTGAATGATTGAAACATGTTGAATATATTGCTGCACTCTTTAGCGCGCGCGCGAGTTCGGTGATAACCCTCTATGTGCCTATTTGGAATTTCCACTGATTCATCGCGCTTGCATAATATAACATCGCATATCGTTTATTTTTCAGCGATTTCTTGGAAAAAGTTTATGCATCGTAAACAATTCTTGGAAATCGCAACTAAATTACATTAAAATCAATTATAGTTATTTCTGGATCTGTGATAAGAAACAAAAGTTAATTATTGTGTTTATAAACATTGGATATTTTATTTATATTTTTCAAAATGTTCAATAATGGACATCTCAGGTAAGTGTCAATATCATAACATAATAAATCGTTTACCGCTATGTATCACAAATAATATCACAAAAAATCGATAATTAAATGTGTGTCTGGTTTATTCCTCATGTCATGGTCGAATTGAAATACATTTAAATTCACTGTAATTTGTTTCTATTTATTTGTTATCCATCTGCATTGTTATTATGTTTTTAAGACAAAGAAACAGAAAATTGCCTTTGCTGCAGGCCTTTGATATAAGTCTAATCAATAAATTACTTGTTGTCTTGTAGATGTGTAGATTATTATGCGGTAAACTAAATAAAGAAAAAGATACTCTTGATAAATTGATGATAACAACCGGTGCGGTGCCGCTGTTAACTTGGATTCTTCCTTAACCTTTTGCTTTTCAAATCGATACTACGCTAAAGCGCAAATTATAAATTTTATGTTTATTGCGTATAATTTCCATGTAATTTATAAAAAAAATGTTGAAATATTTAATTTTAGACAGTTTTTGACGTTTTAATCATGAATCATCATCAAAATTCATCAGTTTTTCATAAAATCATCACAATTCATCGTTTTAATGCAGAAATCCACGGAAAATCATGTTTATTCGTCTTATAACAATTTTATTTCGGTTTGTATTTAAGATACACTAAGATACATTTCATTGTTCATTAATATAACAAAATCTTATGTGCAAATTGTCAATTTGCGCATAAACTAATTTAGCATCGATGCGATAACATTATTAACATCACCACTACACCTAAATACACGTCTAATGCTATGATAAAACGTAATAACAAACGTGTTAGGTGTGAGTGCACAGTCAAATCAATCGGTTTCAATTAGCGTTTGATTCAATGTGTTAGCGCGCTTGATAATACGCCGAGCAGCGAGTCAGCAACGCGAATCATATATAAGAGACGTGTTAACGGATCAACATCAGTATATTTGCAGAAGGCTTAACATCAACATATCAAATAAAAAAATCTGCTGATACTGAGTAAAATTGTGATATTTGTGTTATTTTATCAAGGAGTTACAAAAGAGCTTATCCATTCAACATGAGACTCGTGCACGGAGATGAAAGTCGGAAAGTTTTGGTGCTTTACACTGGTGGAACCATTGGAATGATGCGAAATGTTGATGGAGGTTAGTTTTTAATGCCTATTTATATGATTAAGTATAATTGGTTGCCTATATATATAACTATAGAAATTAATTTAGAGCTTAATTCATTTTTGTGGAATTTTTTACTTGTTAACATCAATCAATTAAAAATGATTCACAAAGACGTAATAACAGCGTCTGACGTAAGGTTCTGTGATTAATAAATTGCACTTTGCTACGTATTATTATTCATGCCTTCATTAAATGATTTCATTGTTTACATCTACTATGTTTGGCTTGCAGTATATTCACCAGCTCCAAATGCTTTTAAACAGAAAATTCATTCGTTGCCTGAGTTGCACGATGAGTTTTTAGCCAAAAAGCTCTACGATGGTAACGTCCCGGAAGGACATTATGTTGTGAACGGAGCGCCATCTACTAAAAACGTGATAACCTATATGATCAAAGAATACAATCCATTGTTGGACAGCAGTAATATGTCTATTGATGATTGGACGAGGATTGCTACTGATATTTATGTAAAAATTAAATTCTAACCTCAATTTTAACTTAACCTAAATATTTTTATATTCTTAGCAATCTTACCATGACTATGACAGTTTTGTTGTTCTTCATGGAACGGACACATTATCCTACACAGCATCAGCGTTGAGTTTTATTTTGGAAGGACTAAATAAAACCGTAGTTGTAACAGGATCACAAATACCTATTTTCGAACAGCGCAGTGATGCCAAAGACAATTTCCATTCGGCGCTGGTCTTCGCCGCGTGCTATAACATCCCAGAAGTTTGCGTGTGCTTCGCGAATCAATTGTTTCGAGGAAACCGGACGTTGAAATCCAGCTCGAATATGCTCAACGCGTTCAGCAGTCCTAATTATCCTTGTTTGGGCAAAGTTGGTATAAGTTACAAAGGTGAAAATGAGGTTTAAATTATCCACGTGCAACTAATTTTAACTTTTGTTTATAGTGCATAAAGAATACATCCTGAAACCAGAATATTCAAATTTTGATTTAAAACTACATAATACCATGAATCATAATGTTGGAATTTTAAATATTTTCCCAACAATAACTGCTACAATGGTAAAATTAGGCTTTTAACAAAAATTAATAAAAATCTAAATTTAAATTTTTTAATTTTACAGTTAGAAGGATTTTTAGGATCAACTCCAAGAATGGAAGGTGTTATTTTCCAAAGTTACGGCATAGGTAACATTCCTACTGCAAATGAAGACTTAATGGACGTTTTGAGATGCGCTGTTCAAAATGGCGTCATTATCGTCAACGTAACCCAATGCATACAAGGAACAGTTGCTGCCACCTATGAAACTGGCAAGGTATTACATATTACTTAATAACACGTGAAGATAAATAAATGCCCACGGTGTATGTCAGAATTTAATTACATGACCACTTAAATTCGTAAACGACTGCATGTAATAAATTACTCTCTGTGTCTCTGTTGCAGGCGTTGGAAGAAATTGGCATTATACCAGGCTATGACATGACGTGCACAGCGGCGTTGGCCAAACTCTCCTACGTGCTGGGCCTGAAACACCTCACGTTGCCAGAGAAGAAGAAGGTATGTGACTTGCTTCTTAACGACTGCAATTAATTTGACTGTCGTCGTAAATGTCTGCAAATGTTTCCGCTTCCAACTAGTTGCTTAATCCTCTTTTAAGGTTCATAAAATAAATCATGTTTAAACATTGTTTTTCTGCTTTTTTTCAGTTGATGACGACGAATCTACGTGGAGAATTGACACCTCATTAAAATCATTTCATTTTTATATTCTCATAAGTCTTTTATTTAATTTTTAAGTAATTTGTATGATTGCGTATCAATTTCGATACAATTTTAATCGTACATGTGTAAGAATTACAAGTTACGTTTGGGCTTAACTTACATTTTAAGTATTAAACACATTTATGTTGTTTATGTTTTGTTTTGGTTGATAATTGCTCTGTAAATTTAATTTTTTGAGCCTGATTCTATTTTCTACTGTAAACTGCGCTCATCAGCTGCTTGCCAAATCGTCGAATCGTTTCCTGATCAATCGTGCACTGCTTGTATTCTTCCGAACAGTTATCTCCTCGTAAACCACTGTCAATAGCCGCTTGAAAAACGGATCCATCTACAAGTTTGTTAATCCAGGAATTCGTAGCTAGACCATCGACGATTTTATCTGTACTAGTTGCTTTGCCCATGACGAGACGCTTGTTTGAATCCTTCACCGTCCAGCAAATGGCGCGCTGCACACAAGATGTCGAATCAATGTTATGATCCGTGAGGGTCTTGTCGATGGACGTCATAAACCTCCAGATTGATGATGTGGCCATAAAATCGTCACCTACGGCAATAAAATCAAGTTGGTTCAAAAACAACGAACAATCACTTTAAAATATTATTGTTTAGCATGTCATAATAAATTTGTGCGTCACGATGCGATGATGAAGTGAAGTGAAAATTGTGAGTTGTATTTCGTCCGTACAAAATTTACAGCCATTATAAAAATCATCGAGTTTTTGCTTTTGATTCAAAATCATCTACACGCATGTAGTCATGGAGAAATTGTACATGCTTGAAATATTTGTTAACAAAATAGTCTTTGATCAATTGCCCGTACCACTCAAACGGAACATCGTAGTCCGTGCTACCTGCCCTAATATTGCAAGTTTGGAGATTATGACTGATGTTATGGGAGCTTTGGAGAATTTAGAAGCTAAGGAGAGGAGCTCAAAGAATAAGCGTGTTGATATTGATTGTGGGCGTTCCGTTTTGTTTCCTATGGACGCGAAGAAAATGAAAGAAGTCCTCAAGAAAGAAAATTTAGAAATAACCGTGAGCAGCAGAGAGGAAGATAGCACTACTCCAATAGCAGTTGCCAAGTTACCATGGGACCACGAGTTTATAAACATGGTGGATAACTCCATAACTACCACCGGATACATAACCCCCGTTGATTTGGAAGATGATTTCCACATGATCCTAAATAATAATCATGCTGCTGTGATATCCATGTTCATCAGACTTTCGTACTTGGGAAGTTCGGTTTACACCAACACTCAAAGACTGGTCACAAAAGATACAGCAGATACTGGTGCACCCGGTGGTGCTCCAGCGACGTACCTCTTTAAATCAGTAGACAATGCCACTATATTCAAATGTACTCGTTATGGCATGGGATCTGATAAAGATATTATGCCTGTTGGAGCCATTTACAATATTGCTAATAAAAATGATGCCGGTGCTAACCCCCAAAGGACTTCTTTTCGAAGAAGACAAGCGACAAAGTCAACGGAAACTTTGTTAACTTTGCGATCTAACAAATTTAGTACGATGTCAATTGCACCATCCGTATTCTTTGGGATGGGTGAATTGGATCGTTCTGCAATGTTGCAGAATGCTCTTGCTTCAACCGATAGTACAATGTCGTTAAAACCTGGACCTGTCAAAGGTCAAAAATATATGGACCTGACTGAGTTGCATATGGATGTGAGCACTTTCTCAATGTTGGCTAACGCTTTAGGAATGCACGTGTATCAATCTTCTGTTAGTAAAGATGATTTTGGTGAAGATGGCGGAGAAGGTGAATCTGGTGAAATATATCCGCTTTTTGTGGATTATAAATCTTTGACGGTTAAAGAGATTGAAGAACGTCTTTGTAAACATCCTGATTGTCCAGCTGCGAAGTTATTTAAAGATTATGGAATAGGTCCTCTTGCTAAAAATATTACTGGTCTTGGTGGTTTGTATAATGATGTGGAAGCACCTTGTTCCTATGGTTTAAGTCATTGTAATGGAAACATTGATAATTATGGTCCACTGGGAAGATTTAGGAGGCCTAAACAAGTTGAGGAACCATTTGTGCCACAAAGTAACTGTAAATGTGGAAGGAAGTCATCAACAATTTCAACTGATTCCAAAGGTTCTAACACTTCTTCAAGGAGCAAACAAAAAGGGAAAAGTGAATGTTATACCCATTGTCCAGAAAATCCCATGAAACTTAAACCACCTTTGAGGTTAAAAGGTGGGGCCCCGCTTGGACCTACTTGTGATCCTGTTCCTAACCCCATGACAATGTGTCAAGACCTTATGGATGAATTTAACAAAGTTTTAAAAGATTACAAAGATGCTTTGGGACCTTGTGGTCTGGCAACTTGTCCATTTGCTTTGACATTAGTTGGAGATAATTGTGCTGAAATTTGTAACTCTACAGATCCAGAGTATCTAAAAGAGTTTGTAATTTGGCCAATCCAGAAATCCTTTTGGAGGAAAAGAATGAGTTTACCGGTTGTGGTGTACCAAATTGTCCGTATAAACGTGCTGCTATTTCTCCGGCAGAAAAAGACTATTCAAAGTATAAAGGTATGCCTGGTTGCGGATATGCAAAGTGTCCCTTTGTAAAGGCTAAACTAGGAATGGAACCAGAAGAAGATAATCATATCCCAGCGTTTAAAGACTATCAAAAACAAGAAACCTATAAGTTCCGGGATGCTCTACCACCTATTCACTGGGATTGCCCTGATCCTCTGCCCAAAGGTGATTGTAAAAACCCAGATTGCCCTTATGTGAAACGTGATGCTTTGATTAAAAAGTATTTCCCTGAACCGTGTTGCCCCTGTGGAAGTCCTACATGTCCTTATGTGTGTGCACCCTGTACGTTTCCGGGATGTCCCTTTGCTATAGCAGAACCGTGCCCACCTGTATGTCCATACACACAACCACCTCCAAAAGAACTTAAATGCACAGCTTCTGTGTGTCCATTTGTAAGAAATTCTGATGCACGGTGTGAGAACCCCGAATGTCCATACAAAATCTACGAAGATAAGTTGGCCGAGTGCGCTGCTTGGGAACGACAGCAAGCTCTTCAAGCCGAAGAAGAGGAAGAGGAAGGTGAAGAAGAACCTTGTAAACCATGTGGACGTCGATCAAGCAAGAGTGCTAGGTGTTCATCGTTAAGAACTAGCATTGCATCAACATCCAAAATACAATCCAGTACTAGAAGATCAGATACCATAGCATCAAGTAAAATTGAAAGGTCATCGGAACCTTGTATTCTTTCTGGAGCTGCAGAGAAAAGGGATTCTAGAAGTGTTCCTTGTAAACCAGATACTTGTGGTAAAGGTGACAAAGTGTGTGATGTGTGTAATCCAGATAAAGCTGACAAAAAAGAAACCATAACTAAAAAATCTGTTGACTTAACAAGTAAATCAAGCAAATATGTTAAGGTGGAAAAGTCTGCACAACCCCTGATAACTAAACAATCTTTGAAAGGAGTTGCAGATGAAGATAAAAATGTAAACCCAAATGGTATTTTAAAAAGACCACACAAAGAGGGTTCTATTTCTGCTAAAAAACCACTAAACACTGTAAAAATACCAAAACCGACTAAAGCAAGTAAAAATGCACAGAAAAGAGCACCCAAAGGTCGTCCCATGTTGAATATTACAAATAATCCATGTCCGTTATCTAAAATGTGCAAAAAGTTTCCATTCCGGTATGATAGGAAATCATACAAACCATGCACGAAAATTGGTCATCGAGATTGTGTTCTTCCAAAGTTTTTGGTGCCAAAGTGCATGGGCTGGTTGTGGAATATTCATGAAGATATTTGTGGTCTTAGAGTAAGTAAACAGTTGACTTATGGATTTTTAGTATAATTTTGTAATTTTTAGCCAAGAAGAGGATGGAAACCGGGTGCAGTTAGCAAAATGATTGCTTTCCGCATGGATTACTTCAACGCAATGAGAGAAAAACGTCCGTTTGGACATTCGCAATCTAAACATGATGAAATAGGTCGGAAACCATCGCTACCCACGGTTCAAGTTAATAAAAAGGGTGGCGTTGTTAATGTTACGATGCATCCTATCAAAGGTATTATTGCAGAATGTCAATTAAAGATATTACTCAATTTTAATTGTATTTATAGAACCTGCAGAGATTAAGAAAGTTGGAGATGGAAATCCGTATATGGATTGCACACCAATTCAGTTTAAAATTACAAAGAATAATCCTGAAAAGCAAGCTAAATACTGTTACTGTGGTGATCAACTGTCGGATACTGATAGTAGTGAATTGGATATTGAGTTTTCACCGCCAGGAGCTATGATTAACCCACGATTGATGCACAAGAATGAGTTGATTGAGGAAGAAGTTCAGTACGATATTAACGATATTCCTATACCGCCTAAACCTCCTAAAGCCAAAGGTAAGGGCAAATCCAAATCGAGTAAAACTAAGAAAAAGGGTGGTAAAAAGAAGAAGAAGTAAAATATTAATTACAACTCAATTACTTTCTGCTGTAATTTTGGAAACAAAAGCATAGATTAAATCAAAATTTTAAGTAAATTTGTGTTTTACTGAGTTTTACTTTTCAGGTGGATTATGGGCATACTTTCAAAAGAAACTAATGGTATTAAAACCAATTAGTGTTGAAATCAATCTCTCGGCATCTTCTTTATTCTTCAAAGAAGATGTAGTTTTAAGACTACGAGGTGGATGTGATTCTCCTTGCCATGATATTCCGATAAGTGTTAAAGATGTCATTAAAGGAGGCAATGCAAATAATATTGCTAGACCTGGAAGAGTTTTAAGGTTAAGAGGAGGTGGTCCCATGAGAAATAAAAAACATGATCCACTGAAGATACAAATGCCGAGTGTCCAAGGTCTTTGTAAAGATCTAATGAGCGACTATAATAAAGTAATGGATGATTATAAGAAGGCTTTGGGACCTTGTGGAACAGCAACTTGCCCATTTAATTACAATGTACGTGAAGAAGAGTGTAAAAAAGTTTGTCAAGTCACGTGCCCACAACCATATTGTCCACCAAAATTAGGTTAGTTAAGAACTTTTTGTCTTAACTTAACTTTTTCTTCTTAAATGTAATCAATTAACGGTGTTTTAATTAGGACCATGTACGCAACCAATATGTCCACACCTACCGGAATATAGCAACGCAGAAGATTATGAAGATGAAGTAGATTTGGACGAGTACAAAGCGTGTTATGAAAGTTGTGTAGCTCCTAGACCCGACGGTCAACCTGCGGTACCATGCAGAAGGTCAGTGTGTCCCTTTGGTAGTACTACTCCTGAACTGTGCCCCACTTGGGAATGTCCACAATTAGAAGATTGTAATATTGACACTTGTATAACACCCACGGATCCATGTGATCTTCAAGTTGAAGACACAAAAAGAAGAAACCCATCCGATGTCATAAACATATATGCCCATATAAAATGGATGAATTGACTGTTGACGATGTTAACCCTTTTCAAGAAAGATTAAATCTAAAAAAGGTTGTGGGTCACCAGACTGCCCACATTCTAATAAATATCAAGCTGAACCTGAAGTGGTAATGCCTGTGTTCCCTTGTAAAAGACCTTGCCCCTCCATAGATGATTTACCGCCAATTCATTGGGATTGCCCTGATCCATTACCAAAAGGTGAATGTACTAATCCCTTTTGTCCCTTGAGAGAAAAATTACCATGTGGACATTGTCCAATTGATGCCAGGCATTGTGGAATGCCAGGATGTCAATTTGCGGGAGATTCTATTTGTCCTCCAACATGTCCCTACACTCAAAAGAACCCACCAAAAGATTTGGAATGTCGTCCATCAGTGTGCCCCCTTGCAAGACCAGCAGGTTATATAAACATGCCGTTTGTTCCGCGAAAAGATAAACCTTGTGGTGACCAATGTCCTTATGCAAAAGGTAATAAAAAAAAGAAAGGCTGTGGTAATCCAAAATGTCCATACCAAACTTGTATGGATAGAGATGGTTTAAATGCGCAAGAAGATTGTGGGAATCCAATGTGTCCATATCGTATCGCCGCTAAGAAAAGAGCAGAAAAAGAAAAGGAACGTGCTAAAAGTAAAAAACAAGACGAATTAGAAGGAACTTTTCTTTCTCTCAGTAGCCCATTAGCAGAACCACCACAAACAAAGACAACCCCATCCGCAGCAACTGCTGTTTCTCTTCCATCCGGCAAAGAAGAACGTCCTAGTATAAAAGCTGAGACCTTAAGAAAATCAGGCGCTAAAATGTCTACTCAAGGTATTCTCAAACTAATTAAATCCTCAATGCAAAATTTAACTGCAGTGTCTGATTCTGCCGATCCAACCGCATGTCGGGAATTATCATGTGCTCAATTTATGGGAACTCGTGTCTGTAAAAAATGTCAGCAACGTCAGCGTGAAGCTGAAGCAACCGGTACAGATTTAAAAACGTTAGCGACCAAAAAAAGTAAAGTCACAGCAAAATCTAAAACAAACCGAGAAAGAAAAGAAAAGCACGTGGTTACGTTTATGATAAAGGTACATATTATCCTGGAGTAAAATTTGGACATAAAGACTGTAAACGTCATCCACATAGAGTTCCCTGGGATATGGGATGGAGGTGGAACCTTCATCAACCTTACACACAGTTAAAACCACGTGCTGGATGGCGTCCTGGTGCTATTGGCAAGACGATTCTTAAGTTTATTAATCACGAGAGGAAAAAGTTGGGACTTCCACCAAGACCTATGATCAGAAATGCTTTACCAAAGATGCACTATTCAAAATCTGCTTCAGATTTAGACCTGCTGTCGAAAGTACGACGTAGCCGCACACGTCTGAGTGTTACACGTTTGAGTAAACCTAAACCTACATTGACTATCAAAAAGAAAGATGGCGTTGTCTATGTGACCATGAATCCATTGAAGGATCCCAGTACAATGGAACCTAATGAATATCCATATTTAGATTGCAGTCCATTGGAGTTTAAGATCTCCAAGAAGAAACAAGACGATGAATTTAAAAGTGTTTGTGTTCTGGAGATGACCCTGATGGTACATTCGTGTCTCAGGATGAGTCCAGTGAATTGGACATTGAATTCACTCCACCTGCAGGAATTGTCAGGCCTGAATACATGTCAAAGCGCAAACACATTTGCCACACTGAAAGTCAATATGACAAGAAAGATCTTCCCAAATCTGAAAGTAATTTAAAAGAAAAAGGAGGCAAAAAGGGTAAGAAGAGTCAAAAGAGTAAAAAAGGTAAAAAGGGCAAGAAGAAAAAGTAATTTCTTTGATATTATACGTGTATATGATTTCATACGATCAATCATTTCATTTATAAGATTAAAACAAAACATTGTCATGTCATATTTGGTCCATTTTTGCTTTCAAAATGGCGTCGAACAAATGAATAGAATTTCACGAGCTGTTTACTGCGACGGTGTAATTTGCGAATGCAACTAGGCGCGCAAAAATGTTTTCTTCGAGAAATTGATGACTTTCACTCAAGATGCAGTGATGAAAAATGAAATTATTCACTTACTGCGATATTTGTTGCCATACTGATTCGAACTAGAAGTATGTTGTGCGCCTGGTTTTAGACCATGTTCACCATAAGTTCCCTTTGCGTTAAAAGATGATAAGTTGCTGGTACGACAAAAGCCGCCCAAAAGCCATCATGCCAGCTAGCGCCACTGCACCAATGTTTAAATTGGCCATGGCGCCATGGCCCAGTTCGGATTTGACCGGTATGCTGATAAACGGCACCGAAAAATCCAATTCGATCTGTTTATATTTAAAAAATTAAGCATAAATGTTTATGGTATTGAATTATATTACTTACATTGATACTATCGTCAGCTTCGGTATTAAATGTCAACAAACGATTTTGCCTCGATTGATATTCGTGCTCTTTCTGATGGGTGTAATGTTGCTGACGATAATTCTCGGTGTAGTTATCCGCCCGGCACACACTCGCGCACACCGCGATAACGATGAGAAAACACAAAGCACTTGCATTACTTTTCACGTAGCGCGACATTTCGTTTTATTGTTGTTGACTGTGTAGTGGTGACTCCAAATTGGCCAAAATGGTGTTACTCTCCTCTAATGCTAGCCAACAGCAAATCAAACAATGATCTATGCACTTAACTTTGTTTTGTTTTTTGTTCTTTTTGATGATAATCGCGGTTTTGCAGAGTGTGTGCTCGCGACGTTGCGCACTCGGGGCGATCCGTCGAACTGATCTCACACCTCTTCGCCAGTCGGTTATAAACCATTCCATCTGAAGTACCGGTAAACCATGAAAACGCTAAGAGTAGTAAAAGTAGTAAGAGTTGAAAAGAAAGCATGCAGACATAACAAGAGTACACGGAATGGACGCCAGGCGCATTCACGTCTGGTCGCGCAGCAATAAATTATATCTACATAATTTCTTTTGTTGTCACATTCGCGCGTCAAAAATGGACGTTTAGACAAAAGTAGGAAGAGCATGAACGTGAACATGCACATATAATATTTGAATGTCTCATTAGAAGACGCTATGGTGGCGCTTTCGTGCAAAAATTACAAGCCGTGAAATGTCTCACAACTATACGCTCATTTACGTAATTGTTTGGCGCTTTTTGATTATGAATGCGAGTGAAAATTAATGTTGAGTTAATTTGTTTGCCATGACACTACAATGGCAGGAATAGAACATGAATGCATTTGTTAAATTGCGAACGAATTCTTGCACTCAGAACAATACTGACACGACTCGTGTTGGACGAGGGGGTTATTAATGGTTTCGCTGTTTAATCTGTTTTAAACACCAGAAACGACAAAATGTAAACTGCACCGGAGTGTAAACAATTAGAATAGAAAACGATGTTATGAGCGCTGGTAATCTGATAATTTTCTGTTGCTTTTGGAGTTTAATTAATTTAATTATGACGGAAATATATTATAAGCTTTTATCAATTTATCGTAAGCCAAATTAAGTTGTTTGGAAATAAATATTAGTAAATCAGTGTAAATTATTTATCTAATTTGGGTTTGTACATAAAAATTTTGCAACCAAAAGAAGATATTTACTATTTCCTTTTGTTTTAACCTAACAGCACTTTGCACAATCTTACAAATCTGAAATATATTTCAACATTTAGTATTATTGTTTCTAACAAATTCTTGTTTCGTTTTTTAACTAAATCTTGCCAAATTTAAATCAAAATTATAACAAGGAACACTTAAAACTAACGAAAAATGAAGATGACACATTGTTACGTGTTATAATAAAGTAAAATAATATAAAGAAAAGAAAGCAAACAATAATAAATGGAATAAACATTAGCAAGACAATAAAGTTGCATATATCACTTCTGTTACATATTAAAGAATAGCCAAAAAAACGCACATAATAATTATAAAAATTAAGATCTTTATTTCAAGTTATGCAGCCATAAAGAAAGGTTAGTAACTTTTATTTTTTCGTTTTCTTTATCGTACCACATTTTTGATTTAAAGTAGGCAAAGATTTAGACTTATATGTAGCATTGCTTAGAGCTATTCATATTGTGCATGACTCCTAGTGGTATTTCGTAATGATTTGCTCTGCTGGCTGGACGACGTCAGCACGAAGAAGAAACACTATTGTCACGTTCTCCTCAAAGAAGAAGCTACTAGAAAAAAATGTAAAAACCTTAACTTGATTGACAAACAAGCAAAAAATATGAAAATAAAAGTGAATAAGTCACTTATTGTGAATGAGAATTGAAAGTGAAAATTATTGAAATAAAATTAATTAATTAATTTATTTTTTATTTTTTTATTTTATTTTATTTTATTTTTATTTTTTATTTTATTTTTTTATTTTTTATTAAACAAAATTCAGAAAACACAGAAACAAATTAATTTTAGTTAACTCCAAACTTTATTTCTAGTAGGGTCTGTACTTGTCAAAGATTTCTATAAAGATTTATATATTTATATTCATTAAATCTTACTTTCGGTAAATACTTTCATACTTTTTAATTTAGTCGCTTCTAGTCTTCATTATTGTCGAACAATTCCTGATTAACTCTTAACCCTGTATAAATAAATACATTTCTATATTATTCTTTCTTTGTCACCATTCGCGTTGTTATTCTCTGCTGCGGCTTAGATTTAGAGAGCGAAAAATTCAATCGGCATATAATGACGCTGGAAATTAACGAACGAAAGTGAAGATGGCATACAACACCGCGCACGCCATATTTGCAAAACACAATTCGTCCGTTTCTACTCCGCCATTTCTATACTTCCGTCTCGTTTTAGCTCGGCTAAACTAATTGATCCAAATGCGGTTTTCTTCTTGTCTTCGTGTTGGTTGTCGTCGCGGTGTCGTCGAACCATCGCGTTGAGACATCGCGCATTGTCCATTGTCTCGTGCCCTCTGTACCGCGACACTCGCAAACGTATAAAACCATCCGGTAATGTCGATTAAGGCATCAGTCGCCGCCAACGACTTGGTACCAACACAGCACCACAACAGCGCTAGAAATCAAACAGAAGAAAGTCAAGATGTACAGCAATCAAAGGACATTTTTGGTGGTCATGGGAGTCGTGATTGGTTTGAGTGTAATGGTCAGCGCATCGCCTAGTCCTAAAAAGTACAATCCAGATGAAGGGTAAGATTTATCTCATAAACTTTACAAAAACTTTATTTAAAATTTTGCTTAGATTCCAACCAAGCGTGCGCTATTTCGAACAGCAAATCCAGAATGACACAACACCTGAAAAACACAGTAAAGCATCCACCAAGGATGAACCTTTAGATCGTCTTCAGCGTTTTGGCACATCAGCCCTTTCAAACTTTGGTAATACCGGAAGTGGAGTGGGTTACCAGAACAACGGCATGGCTTACGGAATGGCACCACTCAAAATCGATATCGGAGGCATTGCACTTGGCGCATTGATTGGTTTGGGCGCCATTTTGATTGTTCCTAAACTAGCCAATGTCTTCTCCAATGGCGGCGGCGGTTATGGTTACAGAAGCCTAGAAAACGACATGTCTTCCATCACAGACCTCTTAGCTAAGGTTGACAACTCCCTGGAACAACACAACATCGACAGCAGTTCTTGTATGCAACGCATCATCTGCTCATATGTCAATGAAGCTCAGAAAGGAGTTGAAAACGGAAAAGCTAATACCGTTGATCAATTGGTCTATGCTGTTTCTAAGTAAGTAAAAATTATAAACCAAAATGTAAATTATTTACAATTTATTTGTTTAGCAATTCACTCTTCTCCTACCTTTTGGATGGGTCAACGATAAAACAAGCAATTGACATGGGCAAACAAAATGATCTTGAAAAATGCGCATCGCTGTATACCAAGTGCCCGGTAAGCAAAGACAACGTGATGCAGATAATCAGCACGCTGTTACCAGCCTAAACGTAAACTTACAGCGCTCATTGCATTTGCATAGATAATTAAAGATGGCGGCCACCGCCGGCTTGGCCAGCCGGAAGGGGCGCGCTTGTTTGTAAATTCTGTAGATGCCTTGCTAAAAAAACTTAATTTTTGTTTGTATGCTCAGCGCTCGTTGTGTAACTCTTGCACACACATCTTAGTTATCTAGTTATCATAACGTAATCTAAGAATATGTTTATGTATATTGTTTGTTTGAATAAAAACGAAAGCGGAATGAAAACAACATAACAATGTACCACATGTCTTACACAATGGAATTTAATTTTAATCTTTTACTATTTCGTAGTCTTCTTTTGATTGTTGTTGCGCACCGTGTCAAGTGCCTTCATAAGTTTGGTGTAGCTGTCGTCAACATTAGCTGAAGCATCAGCTGTGGACGTACCCGGAAGTGATTCGTAGTCTAATAGAACCGAATTGCTTCTTGATTGTTCCAAATTGTAATTGTTACCATCACTTTTTAATTTCAGTAGAATATTACGCAATGAATCATCTTTTATTATATCATTTTTCTTGTCTTTCTTGTCAAAATTCCATTCGGTTGAATCGCGATCCTTTTTTGAAGAAATCTCTTCTAGAATATTTCTAACAACTTTTGATGCTTCATTTATTACATTTTCACTTGGGCGCTTTTCTGTGTCTTCTTTTCTACCACTTTTTAGTGTTTTAATAATGTGATCCATTGAAAAGTTGACTGTTTCTTGTTGCCTTTTAAATTCTTTAGGGAACTACTTCGAGTCTTCAAAGAAAAAATGATTTCTTTTGCTTTGGTTCTTGATATCCACTGTCTGGTGACTTCAATAAGTTGCTAAATGAATTCCGGCGTTTTGAAGTTAAATCACACAGAATAGAATCACACACAGCATTCATAAATCGCTGTTTTGTTTTTGTACTAATTTCATCAGTATAATCTGATTCATCATTTTGACAGAACGTGCTTAACATTGGTGTACTTCCCAAATTCAGTCTTAAAGGGTTTGAGGATAGATTATAACTTTTTGTTGTGTTTGCCAATGGGTTATACGGAGTAAACATTTTATCCAAGAATAGAGGAGTAGGTTCCACCGTGTTGAACATAACATTTTGCATTCTATGACAGGGTTGTAATTTAAATCCGTAATCTTCAAATTTAGGACATGTTGTCGATGAGTAGACGTTGACGCCAGATACAGATGGATCATGCTGAACACTTGCTGTTTTACAGATAATTGTTTTGGTTTTAGGTTTTGTTTTATTTGTATATCTAATCTCATGTTCAGAAATTGATCGTGGGCTGTTTCTAGTCGTATTTGGAGGTGATCTCATGGTACCATATTCATTCCTCCCACGAGAATAAAAAATCGGACGTTTATTACCTTGATTTTTGTTTGATTTTTCTTTTTGGGAGGTTTCTCCCTTATCTCTAAAATCGTGGCCGGGATGGTAACGATTACATACCCCACAGGCATTCCTACAGCACCGGCAACATCTTCGTTTTGCACAGCAACGTTCTGTTTGGGTATCAATTGTTTTTGGTTCAATATAATTTTCCAAGTCATCAGTTTGAACATTGCAGGTATTGAATTTTTTACGGCATGGGCAACAGCAGCAACAATCATCTGAATCACTTCCTGGTTCATCAACATATTCTTCCTCAGAATAGTAATCTTTTGGGGCAGTTTGAAAGTCTTCACTTGAAAAACATTCATTACGGTGTAATATTCCTTTACGGGTACGTGGAGGATACTCTTCAAAATCAGGATCAGCTTTAGCTATGCTGTAGCCTTTTGGACACCAAACGCAAGATGTCGGCTGGTGGTGGGGACAATTCATATTTTCTAGATACGCATTGTACATGTTGAAATCTTGGGAACCGGAAGGCTTTCCATGCATGTACTGCTTGAATTTTTGCATCATTGATGGGTTTTGAGGACATGGGCATGCGCAGGATGTACAAGGTGAGTAAGCAAAAGTCGGTTTCATTCTATTTTGGCAGCAGTAACACTGATTCCTAAACGAAATGAGTATCAAACATCAACTATTAACCTAATACTATGATTAAGTATATTTTAACAATTGTAAACTGATTATGATGATATTTACATTACCAGTTATCACTTTTCTTTTTGCTACAACACCACCATTTCTTTTGTTTCTTCTTTTTTGGGGCTACATAGTAGCGCGTTGGAGGAGGTCGAGAGTGTCTATATCCGCCGGTAACTACCACTCTCTTAGGTGGTTCCTCACAAGCGCAATATAACTCAATAGAAGGTCGTGGTCTCTTGCAAACCGTACAACAAGGCATTTTGTCATCAATTAACTCGATTCCGTTGCCTTGCCTTTGTTGATTTTGAACTTTTTCAACAAATGTATTACTAAATCTGTTGGTAGTTTTTGTTCTTTCGGGTTGTAACTCTTCGGTGCTTCTTTCATATAATTGACGATACTCGTGGCAGTGCGAGCAATATTCATCGGACCGTGTTAGATACCTTCCCAAATTTTTAAGGTGATTATAAGAAGATTGAAGAACGGTTTTAGTGCGTTTAAATAAATGAGCGTATTGTAATTCTGACAGATTTTCAATGATGACGTTTTCGCTGGAGGTAGATTGCGCATTTCTTAGCACGCGGTCCAACGCCGAAACATGAATGCCTTGATTTCGACGTTTGGTAATGCGATTTTCGCGTTTATCTAGCAAAAATAATATCATTTTAATTATTTATATATTTGTAGTGTTTGTATATATGGATCGGGTGATTACCACTATAACTTGGAGAACATTCTTGGGGCTCACAATTTACAATAACCATTAATTACCGCGGAATTACCAAAAACACCAAAATTTTATTTGAATTAAAATGATATACCCCCATTGAAACCGCCAAACGTTGACAATACTTTCATATTGCCAAACAGCGATTGACGTATAATCTTTTTACGTGTTTTATGACAAATTTTCCCAATGACAAGCATAAGCTATGACTTTATGCTTATCGCGTAAATAAACAATTCCCTGCATAGTTTCATAAATTAAAAATCCTGCATTTTGTGCATTTCTAAATGCTATTTTATAGTTTAAGAGACGCTCTACATGTTAATTGACAATATGTACTGCATACAAAAGTGGAAACACGTGGAAACATTAATTATTGATTATAATAGTCTAAATTGTGGGACTAGTATCTGTCGCATTCATAGATGACACTAATCGAGTTATACGGCTTAATTTTATATTTATTGACAAACGTGGGCACAAGAATAGTTTTGTATACAATGCTGTTATCTGCGATTCGGTGTAAACAACGTTTTTAACGCATGTGTCCCGCGCGCTGTCTCCTAGCGCGCATCAACTTGCTGCATGCAGCGAAGTCTAGTTTAGTTTAGATCACAGGTAATGTGCCTATTGCAAATTCGTGTACAAGATCGCGTGCGATCAACGCGCAGCCGACTTTGCGCATCTACTGCAATTCGTGCACAAGGTCGCGTGCCGTCGACGCGCCGTCTTTGCGCACCTCTTGCTTTCTTATCATATACTGTCCCGTCGTTGTTTACGCAGTTCGGCTGCACTGTCGGTGGATTGCAGCCAGTTTCATGCCGGTCGCTGGTTAAAACAGTTGTGTTTGGAGAGACTTATATCGGTTATTCGAACTTCAATATTCTAAATTTGTGTTATTCTCGGAGATCAATCGACAATTTATTTGTGCGTGGCGACTATAGTAATTTGTTTAATGTTCGGAAATGCCGGTTTTGATCGCGTTTGTTATGTATATTACAAGTCACGTGATAGTGGATTTGATAACATTCTTCACTCGGCGTGGTGTTTGGTGTCGCTTATTAAATTAATCGAATATATATTGTCCCCATGTTGATTCTCATCATTACGAAAGTTCCATCAGGCTCGTGTAAGTATTTTTTATCTAAACAGCATATATTGTCTATTTTGTGTTGATTGTTAATTATAACATAATTCAATTGTATGAAATATTTTCGTTTTAATATATGTTTTCGTTTAGTTACAGCACTCGTTGGGCCTGGCAGTCCGATAAGTTGTACACTGGTAAGTTTATAATTCAATTATATTTTTCGGTCAAATTTACATTTGTTGTTTATAAACAAGAATTTAATTCTTAATTCTGTATTTCTCTGAATAGAATTTTATTAGAAAATTCCGTAACGCGAGTTATATTGAAAGTTGTGTGTGTGCGCCGTAGTACTCGTTGCGCTAGGATTTGTAGTTTTGTTGTTATAACACACGAACGCGGTGTCACAATAAATTCTAAATCATTTTCCCCGATGCGGAATTTAATTCTGTATCTCCCTGTATTGAAATTTATTTACCGCATTTCCAGATATGTACTGACTTTTTTGCATATTTTTGTTGCATATTTGATAAATGTGTTTTTAAGTTGATAAATATTTTCAAAGGTTAGATGGCGCGACGATGTACGGTTTTGCATTAAATATTGCTTGTTGGTGGTAGTGAGTGCACACCGTGTCCGTGTGGATCACGCGATTTCGCGCAAGAAATAAGTTTGTTTACCTGCAGGTATCGAATCTTTATTTCGTGGAATCAAAACACACCATTGCTGTTTATTATATTAGCATCGTAAATTTAAGCAAATATTCTGCAATTCATTCATGAATATAACTAACAATTTTATATTAATTCTAATACATTTTTATTATCAGCAGATGATTACGGACTAATGTGTTACCTGGTAAACGAAAAACGATGCATGTTCAAATTAAATATCACTTAAATATTTGATTTAAAATATGTCAATCTGTCAGCATAAGAAATCAGAACTACGCAAATCAAATTTTAATTTTTTATTATCTTTACTAATCTAAATTTCGAAACAACTGTATCATTTATAGATGGCAATAGCATGGACTAAAAATTGTAAAATAAAACATTGTGTTTGTTGGAATACAATATACACTTTCTTATCGCATTGCCGTGTGTCGTCATTGCCAGCACCTCACGCCGCATGTTGCTGCACCTTAGTTTAGTTTTGATCCCAGGTAAACTGCCAAATGCAATTCGCGCATAAGGTCGAGTGCCAATGACGCGCCGCCGAGTTTGCGCATCTATTGCAATTCACGCACAAGGTCGCGTGCGATCGACGCGCCGGCTTTGCGCACCTCTAGCTTTCTTATCTTAAATTGCCTCGTCGTTGCTTATGCAGTTATGCAGTTTTAGCTATCCTATCTGATAGAGAATAGTCCGTAGATTAAGACGCTGCAATCAGATCCTGATTGGTAGCTATCGCTTTTAGTTTAAGAGATATTAATTATCAAAAATCAATTTTTTCTTAAGATTAAAAATTTAATCTCACAGATTTCCGTTTTAACTATCCTATCTTATAGAGACTAGTCCGTAGATTAAGATGCTGCGATCAGATCTTAAATATCTCTTTTAGTTTACGAGATATTCGCGTTTGAATAAAATGGGCAAAAATTGAGAAATGTCACTTTTTAGCACTTTTAGTCGCGATTTTCTACCTTTTACTGTAGGAAATATAATTATTTTATATTTTTATCGGATAGAGAATGTTCCAATCTTTCATAATCAGCAATTCGTTGGTTGCTCTGGCTTTTAGTTTAAGAGATATTAATTATCAAAAATCGTCGAAAAAAAGTATCAAGCACCCCCCCTTGGCAATTTTTTCTTAAGATTAAAAATTTAATCTCACAGATTTCCGTTTTAACTATCCTATCTTATAGAGACTAGTCCGTAGATTAAGATGCTGCGATCAGATCTTAAATATCTCTTTTAGTTTACGAGATATTCGCGTTTGAATAAAATGGGCAAAAATTGAGAAATGTCAATTTTTAGCACTTTTAGTCGCGATTTTCTACCTTTTACTGTAGGAAATATAATTATTTTATATTTTTATCGGATAGAGAATGTTCTAATCTTTCATAATCAGCAATTCGTTGGTTGCTCTGGCTTTTAGTTTAAGAGATATTAATTATCAAAAATCGTCGAAAAAAAGTATCAAGCACCCCCCCTTGGCAATTTTTTCTTAAGATTAAAAATTTAATCTCACAGATTTCCGTTTTAACTATCCTATCTTATAGAGACTAGTCCGTAGATTAAGATGCTGCGATCAGATCTTAAATATCTCTTTTAGTTTACGAGATATTCGCGTTTGAATAAAATGGGCAAAAATTGAGAAATGTCACTTTTTAGCACTTTTAGTCGCGATTTTCTACCTTTTACTGTAGGAAATATAATTATTTTATATTTTTATCGGATAGAGAATGTTCCAATCTTTCATAATCAGCAATTCGTTGGTTGCTCTGGCTTTTAGTTTAAGAGATATTAATTATCAAAAATCGTCGAAAAAAGATATCAAGCACCCCCTTGGCAATTTTTCTTAAGATTTAAAATTTAATCTCACAGATTTCCGTTTTACTATCCTATCTTATAGAGACTAGTCAGTAGATTAACACGTTGACGACGGCGCGGTTTTTGAGTGTCCGCCGCATCGGGCGGCATTTGAGCATTGTCAACTCCGTCTAATTAATTCAGCTGTGCGCCCTGGTAGTTATGCATTGCTATAGCAAAAAGCCATTGTTTTTGCAGGTGCATCGCCATTTCTTTATTTTCTTTGTAATGAATGCCTTTATCTTTAAAGTCCGACCAAAAACCAAAACTATGTATGAACTGAGATGGCAAGTGACGACCGCGACTTAGTCGCGAGTTAGCCAAACGACGCACGTTAATTCCCGGACACTGAATTTCGGGTCGGCCAAAAGTTTCAGCCAATTTTTGGCCGAAACCGAAATTGAAGCCGAAGCCGAAACTGAAATTTCGGTCGGTCACTATTTATAATAATATGTAATCTGAGTGACACATTTAGTGACAAAGATGCAAGGCCCTGATTGTATAGGTGTGGCGAGAAGCAGATATAACCTAACCAGTGGCGGAGTCAAAAATGAATAAGCTTCGTTTCAAGTGAGCCGTGTACCACCGGTGGTACACGCCGTCCGACAGACCAGACGCGTGTGTACCACCGGTGGTACACGCCGTCCTGAACGTGTTAAGATGCTGCGATCAGATCTTAAATATCTCTTTTAGTTTACGAGATATTCGTGTTTGAATAAAATTTTCCATTTTGCACTTTGAATTTTCTTTCTGTAACACCCTGTATATTAGTTTCCCCGATCGTCTAGAGAAAAGGAGCGACGTTTGTAGGAATAGTGATAGTTTTTTGTTTGCGTTGTAAATTTTCGTTTTGTAACACCCTGTATATTTATTTTCATTTTCAATCACATAGAAAATAGGCTATTTGTTAATTTCATTATCCCAGTAGAACTTTACAAAGTAGTACTTGTTTGCATGTGCGCGACTATGCAGGTCGTAAGTCCTGCTTCAATATGGCGACATGAATTTTGTTGACTTGTAAAATATAAACTTGTATTCTATTATTAATAAAGAAATAGTAAGATATATTGACTTCTTTGATATGTGTGTTCACCTTCTATCATTTCAGGAACAGGTCTCTAAGAGAGTTCCCTCTCTCTGGGGGTGATCCCCCACCATAAAAATTGTTGATATGCCTGATAATTTCGGGGATGAAGCGCAGAGACATCGTAGCTGTAGGATGGGCCGGGAGCAATGGACGGACCGAAGCAGTGGGCCTGTCGACCTGTGACTGTCTTATAACGACACGTGCCAAAAAATTTAAAAATCTGATCCTCCCCTGTTCTCTTCCTTCTATCTTCTCTTATTCTTTACTACTACTACTCCTACTTCTATTTCTCTGTTCTCGTTTCTCCACTTACTTTCTTACTTCTCTTATTGCCTTCACTTGTATTTCAATTTCTCATATATTTCGTTGCAATTCATATATGCAACCCAAATTACACCTGATATTTTTATATTTGAGAAAAATGCCTTCCATACCTGAGATTCGATCCGTGTCTGCTAGCATGCCAGCAGGTGCACGTCTCCACTCGACCACCGAGTGTTTTTATTATTAATATTTGATTCTTCTATTTATGTTTCTACTTTATTCAACTTTTTAAAAACAACAACACAAGCCTTAGCTATGTTGTACACGTTTCACGCACACAAGATTCATACGCAATATGATGTAAGACGCTTATCCTGGAAACGATAAAGAGGATATCACAAAGAAATGTGAATGCGATTGAAATTTTAAATTGTGTTTTATTAATTATATTAAACAATATATTTATTCTTTTTTAATAAATCGACGACTATTAAATTCCGTATCAGTTACCTTAAAATAGACGCAGCTCCAACACTACCGTTATATTGTGAACTCCATAATTCGGACACTCACAACCTTCTTCTCTATGCACCAATGTTGTGTACTGGTGTGAAAGTAATATTGAATCTAAGTTATTTTTAGGAGCAAAACGATAACCGTCAGCCGGCGAAACCACACACAAGCAAAGGTGCATAAAAATCAATCCGCAATTGACAAACACTCAACGCGTGCATCACACTTGTGAAACCTCGATGACGCCCGATACCGGTGCATGCCGTCTTTTGTTTAATAAATATTATGCAATTACTTAATAATGTTCTGACAAAACTAGTCGCGATGAACACGAACGATTCACTCGATGACCGGAATGGAACTGCACGTACATCGAACTGCACACAGCCAACGACGACTAACACGCGGTCACTATCAGTATTGTGATGCCAGCGGATATACAAAAAATTGTTTACAAAAATACACAGATTTTTGTTTTACTATGGCAGCACTACCTGCTTTGGCACTACAAGTTTTCTGTTTCTACGTAATTATTGAAAATGGTCGTTGACTCGAATTCGTTTTATGGCACTTCCTGATAGTTTAGAAGATGGTAGGCCCACGCTGATTGTAAAGGATGTCTTGAACTATAACAAATTTGAATAAAGGACTTGAATTTAGATTTTTCTATTATTTTTTAAATAGACAATTTTATGAATTACATATACATGATATAACACATAATATTATTTACAAATTCATGTTTGTTGTTTCGTCGTCTTGTCCACTCGCGTCTGTATAATATTCTTTTCTTAAATTGTTCTTCAATTATTACTCATGCGTTAAATATAATGACATTTTTATGTTACAATCATAAATTTCATAATAAACCATCTACATAATCAAAAAATCTTAGTTAGTAATAAAATCCATGTTACAAATATCATAAATCATAACTGTACGCCCGCTGTACGTCTTTTGTGACACTGCGGCCTAAAATAAAATTAAACGTAATCCACTTTCATTTCATTCATGAAGGCCACTTGAAAACTCGAAAGAATCGTTTCACTTTACATGTTTTATATATTATTGTCGATGGATGATTATGATCAACTTAAAAAACAAATTAAAGCGCACAACATATAATTTAATATGGCCAATTCTTAATCAGTATATTGGTGAAGTGATCGAATGAATGATTAACATTTACAGATCTTGAACGTGTACTTAATCCTTGAATGGCAGTTGAACATCAATGAACACCAATGAACATCATCGAATCACAAGTCACGCAATTTTAAGGTCTTGCATTTGATTCGTGCAAGACCTTAGAAGTAATCAGTGCGCGTGTAATGAATGCTGTCATGACACGCAATTATAATCGTAATCGTGTTACGCGCTTATAAAAAGTCAAATCAACTACCAGTACCAGTACAGAGTACAAGAGAGTACATTATAAATTACAATAAAATTTTTTACACTTCCTCACAGCGCGTGAAAACATTCACACTGTCAAAACTTCTCGAATTATTATTTATGTGTTTACTGCTTGAGCAAAATATGTACATATTTACATCCGTTTTTATCTCGTAACTGAGTCATATCGGTATCCCTTACTTCTTAATTTAATTATCCGCATTTGTTTACAAATTGTCCTCTTCTCTAATTTCATCATCTAATCGCCGTATCAGAACGTTAGAATAATTACTTACATTGCTGATTACTAAGAGTAGATGGTAATAATGTGAATAAATTATCGTAATCATTGTATCTTTACATTGTATGTTGATCTTGATTTCTGTTGCACAGAATTCTCAGAAATTTTCATTTCATATTGGACGGCAATCCAATTATAATCATCTGTCGCGGCAGTCAACTAAGTAATATAATAAATTAGTTTCTACTATAACAAAACAATACATAATGTCGATTGTTTTGCAATTGCAATACCAAAAATACAAAGGTATAGTCTTAAACTCTAATTCATCTACAAACTATGTATATAAATAATATATGTTAACATATGCATCAATAATTTGACCAACCAACAATTTTTTTCTATAGAATGCCAGAAAGAAACATTGCTATAACATTATAACATTATTATCAATGTTTCTTGCCATGTTTACAATTGTAATATGAAATCGTTTGCCCCCGCAGCTTTACAAATAATATCACACAATTTATAAATGTATCTTACACTATATTTTATGAATTAAGTAATTTTACTTAATTTATATTTAGTTCATCTTCATATATAATACATATATGTAATAATTTGAAATTAAGTAGAACTCTAATGAAAATATTCGTATTATAAATGAGTGTCTATTTTGTTTTATATATTAATTTTAATATCATATTTCAACAATTGAATAATTCTTTTCAATCAATCGTTGCTCAATCATGAGTATAATAATGAATTCACTATGTTTTTAGACTCAATGTGTTAATTGAAAGAAACAAATTCGGATTGTACGTCTTCAACTGCATAATTCGTCTCGTATTAATGTTATTTATAGAAAAAACGTCAAATTTGCCCACCATGCTGAGTATGATTGCCACATAGTATTAAAGTAGTGAAATCACGTGCACATCTTATAAAATCGTGACTTTTGATTGTTAAAACACACGAATGCATGACACAAAATGGCGCGGCGAGGCCATCTTGAATCTATGCGTCCTGTGTATAACGGCAGTCTTGAAACAACTTAGTGGAACTCGTGCTGGCTTGGTCAGAAGCGCGTCGCGGTCACAACGCGTGGTAACGTCGAAGTGATCATCGGTGTATTCCTCGTCGACTCCAGCAGCGGTTGCAGAGACTAGAAAACCACAAGAAACGAAATAAATACGATTGTGTGAATAAAATACAAGTAATACGCAAAGGAAACGGCAGGTGTTCTTGTAATAATCTTACTTAAGACTATGAGCTTACAGGAACAACTCTATGAGAATATAAGATAATGCCAGTTTGCGCTAATGAATTGTCTTGCCCCGAGGGAAGCAAGCGGTATGGTTGACTCACCGACGTGTCCCTAGGATGTATTAGAGGCGTCTCGGCGCTCATTCCGCCGTCGTGTATGTGCGTATCATCACGAATCGCACGCGGCATGTATGTCGGTAGGTGTTGCATGCCCTGGAAGGTGGACGGATGCGGGGGACTAAGCGGTTGCATGCACGGAGGCATCCGCTTTCCAATGTCGATCTGCGCGTACAACGTTGGTTCCTGCCGGCGAATCACCGACATAGGAATCGCCTGCTGGTTGTAGATGACGTGCGGCATCTGTTGATTCGGCAAAGATAATTCAGCGTAAGTGATTTCGTCCTTCTGAAAGAACCACAAGACATTCTATTTTCATGCTTCTACTTCTACCGTAATAAAAAATAATAAACAAATAAATTGAGTTTAAAAAATGGCGCCGTACCGTTTTGGAGTAATCATAAGGTCCATTCTTCATTTTAGGATTAGGACTTTGCATTCGACTGTACACCCGCATTGATGAGTTATTTAATCGCTGGAAGGCTCGCTCGTCTGCTTGGTAATCGTCCTCGCCGTTGCTCTGCGGAATGATGTCGGGATTCTTCTCCTCCAGGCTATCCACGCTGTCGTTTAGGTCCTTGTTGAGCGGCTCGGTGCTGGCCTTGTCGCCCCCGCCGGCAACACAGCGCCTACCAGCCGATGACAATCCTCCGTCGTCGTAATCCTTGTCATCACGATCTCCGCCACCGCGCATCCGGATTACAATGACGATAATAATTGCAACAAGGATCAACGCGCCAACGATTCCAATCAACGCGCCCAAGATGGGCGTGATATGAAGAAAGACGGGTGTGTAGGCTGCAAAAAAACCTACGATGAGTTGCCACAATGTTTTCCAATAGCATTCGAACACCACACAAACATAAAACACAAACATTAAAACCAAACCTAAACCCAGTAACCGCCACCACGTTTTAATTGCTGAATCTCCTTGAAATTCATTCCGCTTACCACCAAAGGTGCCACGTGCATTCGATGCGGGCGCGTATAAAATGGTTGCTTCACTAACAGATGTTTTGGACGCCATGGTACGAATAAACAGTAGAAGGCCATCATGTTCTTTTGGTAGTGAGGATATTGTAATTGTTTCTGGTGTTCCGGATGTGGCCGTTCCTAGTAGGACTCTACTGTTGGCATCGTACACGTGTAGAAGGTATGTCCAACCAGAATTTTTAGGAATTTGCGATGCCTGGCACTTGATTTGCAGGTAATACTGCGTCTGTTCGTACAGCTTACAATTTTCTGGAGGTATCGGCTTACTGGGACTTTGCTTATCTATATATTTCATTATAACATAAACACGATAAATATAAAACGGAAAATTCAAAGAAACAAATACGCGTAATTCCTAGTATTAAATATTTTATATTAATTTCATGATTTACTCACCGGTATGTTTTTCCGCCGATTTGGCCGTGAAAGCGTGTAATCGTGTCACCCTACTGCGTCCCTTAACGTTCCCAGCGTAGACCTGTATGTCAAACCCAGAGCCGGACTCCAACCCCGCGACACTGAAGTACGGCGTGCGTGAGGTGACGTTGCTGACCAGCTTGCCCGACTGCGTGTCGTACACCTCCATCACGAACTCCTGCTGGAGGCCGCCATCGAAGCCCTCGATGCACTCGACGTGCAACGACTCGACGGTCTGATTAAGGATGGTGCAGTTGGAAAGCGCGTCCGGCTTGCCTGTGGGCATACATGCGAAAGATATACGACCAGCTAGAGAATGTCCAACCCCCCAGTTTCAAAATTTACGACCTTGCCCAACGCGGGGGACATGGTCCGAGAATATTTCAATATACACAATGTCTCAAGAAATTTCATACTTAAAACCAATACAAAATATTTTTACCTGCTGGATTTATATAGAAAACACAAGGATCCTTCTGCACGCCTATTTCATTCTTTCCCCAACACAGCAAAGTCCCATAGTCCAGTTCGGTCATAGGGGTGTAAGCAGCAGTACTGCGTGTCTTTTCGGTGGCGACGTGACTCGCCGGTATGTCGATGGTCTCGGCGCTGTTGTTGAACTTCCAGATGAATTGCACGTCGGTGGGATTCGCCTCCAGCTCGCACGTGATGCGAACGATCTCCTGGCGCGCCGCCCCGTACACCTTCTGCTGACCAGGTCTACACACCGGCGCGTCTAGAATAATACAATTAACAATCAATATCCACCAAAACAGGAAACAGGATGTGTATATGTATACTTTATATCTACAACAAGGGAAGTTATTGCACTGCAATGCCATTCAGTTTTTGCTGCAGCGCAATGTCCTGCCCGCCAGCGCTGTAGCTCTAATTTGGCTGAAATATGCACAGCAAGACTACATTATATTACAACGGCAAGTAGCTAGCAAGTACTAGTGCGAGTAATACATAATGTATTGTACATAGCGCACGCCGGCAGGAAGGCGTAGCAGGGTCTTCGGCGGATGCGGGTTTGTAATGTAGTACGCATCGCGCGGCGGGCGAACATAAAATTTACATTTATTACGTCGAAAATGAGTTTGAACTTTCATGAATCACAAAGCTATGCGCATATATACGCGTGCTCTAATTAAAAGTTAACTTTTTATGTTATCGCTGCGCGCGCGATGCGCCCAGCCCGGGCGAAAGAGTGCGCGCTCGCTGTATTTTATTAAAATTACTCGTGTCGTGGCGGTTGGCGTGCATCGCTAATCAAGGAAGTCGTAAATTAACTTTTTTACGATATGCGAACGCCGCACCGCTTGAATTCGGTAAAAACCATGCGACTGCGACACTAATTAAAAGTTTTGTTCAACATCCAAACCCAAATATTAGACTGAATCTACTAGTTCACCTAACATAACAATTTTTCATGGACCACATAATAAGCCCTAGGGTAGTAAAATAGTTTTGCGATCAAAGGGCGGTAAAATTTTTGTTTAGTCCTACAGCTAGATGTTTGAAGGCTACATAACAAAATTAAGTTTTAATTGTTTGAATTTGAATAGGACTCGAAGTGCAATTACAATCGATGTTCATGATAATGGTGGTGGAGGCGTCGCGGAAACCCGCATCGCAATAATAATTAACATTAAAATTAACGACCGACCGCCGATAGATAACTAAGATTACAGTTAATTTCTGCGCATTAATTTCGACGCAATAATGTAATGTGATAATTACGCAGAGCGCACGCCGTGAACGACAAAAAGCAAATTAATTCTCCAATAATGGTGCCTATCACTTTACCACCAAACCAACCACCACTATTTTCAACCCTTATTAATAAACCCACACACAGTATTTTTGTATCTAGATAAAGTACACATGGCTTTTGTATAGGATTTGCAATATTGCTGAAAGTCAAAAACAAAATTCGATTTTGAAAATTTTATTTGCTGCCATATGCAGGTGAAAATAAACTGAAAAATGCGCGGTAATTGCATTCGCTGGCTGGCAGGCAGGCGGCGAGCAGGAGCGCGCGCGCGCCTCTTGTATTTGCAATTTTTCCAATTTGTCCCCGGGCGCACTCCGCTCGCCGCGACGTGTTTGCGCCAATGCGTCTTCATCTTGCGGGCGGAAAAAATCCTCGTCCTTAAAAATGGCAAAAGCGTGTGTCTCGCCCGCAGTGTGTGTATATAAAGTGGCTGATATAAGCTGCGAGCTCAGTGTGTTCACATATTCATATTCATATTGCTCTTGCCGTTTGTGCAAAGAGGAGGATGAGCAAAAAACCCTGCTACTCCCGGAGAAATAACAAATTTCCTTTCGGCATACATACTCACAAGCAGCACACCGAAAGCCAACTAGTGTGTGGGCTGTCAAAACTGAATTTCCGCGCGCACATAAATCAATAATTTCCCATTATTGCTTCTCGCGTGCTGGCGATTCTTCTTGTCTCCGAAAGTCTGCCTGTTTGTTGTTGCGTTTGCGTACGTGGCTTTTTTCGCTCGTGAATTTCGAGTGCGAATAATGCATGCGCGCGCGTCTGCGGTGGAAATTGCGATGGAGGCGGCGGAGACTCGATCGGGAAGCATAAGCGCGTGCACGCGATCCATCTTCGCGAGTGTGTACTCAATAAAGAGTTCATAAAAATGTAAAATTGCATGTTTGACTTCCATATAGTTGAAGCAAACAGCGCATAAACTTAAAAAAATTCACCGTATTTTGATACTACTGCACCTCAGCTATCATTTCAAATAGTATGAAACGTTTGACAGCTGTCATAAATATAAATAGCTATTATTTGAGGTTATGTTTAAAATTTTACTAAAAACCCTGTTATGATAAATCAAACACCTGTATAGTATATAAAACACACAAAAAATCACATCCCCTATTTATAAACATCCCCTTGAGGATAAAAAACATCGTGTTTGTATGCACGCGTCTCCCTGACGTACGCGGCAAAATTTTCCACCCCCTTTCGCACATTCCTCGTGCACCTCGGGACGGGCCATCCCTCACACATTGTGCTCGTCTCAGCCATCGTAATGTAAACACGTCCGATATAACTACCAGCCATAACGTCACCGTCGCCGCCGCTGTGGCCGATATAAGCAAAAAGTTAAAAATGAGCAAAGAAGACACATCGTGTATGTTTATCCATGTTTACGTATGATTGAGAGTCCAAGTTGGTGCGAAGTAAACTCCACTCCACCGGGCGTTCGTTCGAGGGAGTGAAGAAGCACACGATATATCTAGGGTGCGGTAAAGAAGTCTGAGGGTGTGGGTGGGCAATGTGCAGCGCGCGACTGGCAAACACATTCATCATCTTATTTTGGACACGCGAATGGACAGGCTCTTAGGAGCGCTTCCTGCGCTTCGCATTTCTTCGCGTTTCTTTGCCCCCAAAGTGGTCTCCACTCCTAAAACGCGGGCGGGGTGTGCGCGCCGAGGACGCTAGACAATTCTGAATGTCGCGACAGAGTCACCGAGTGAAGAGTTATGCCAGTCTTTTATATCTCGCTCTTTTTGCAAGCTCGAGTATCATCCCTCAAGATTTTTGAAGACGTTGAGGAAGGGAGTAATGCAGCACTCGGATAATTTCATCGTCAGAAATGCTGATCATTCAATTTGGATGCGAGAAGTGGGAATTTTTGAAGAATCATGGTTTGATGGTGTATCATACTAGTTAAACCGCAATTATAAGCGCTTTGAGCGTGTTGATTAATAGTATTATGATGACTTGTTAAGTTTTAAGGACCAGGGACGTAACTATAGGGCGCTAGGACTGAAAATTTTCTGAGCCCATAAAGAATTTCACAAAAATTCAGAATTTTCAATCCGTTCCTTTCTATCACTTTTAGTTTACGAAATAATCGCAATAAAAATATCGAAGAAAATGAGATGTACTTACATTTGACGTTCAGATCCACAGTGTTGCTTTCTCCATCTCCTTCCTGGTTGCTCCCAATGCAGGTATAGGTCCCCGCACGTGCTCTGGTCACCGATTGAAGAACCAAACTTTGATTGCTGACAATTGTCCCTGCTTGGGCGTTACTAAACAAAGTTTTACCCTGAAACACAGCATAATACAAGTATTATTCACATTTGTGATACTAGTGTTGAAACCTATGAATCCTCCCTCACAAGTACTTACATTATGCCTCCAGCTGACTTTGTAAACCCACGGATTAGACTTGATGTTGCACTCGAAGTAAACATCAGCTCCCTCACGAATGACGCTACCATTTAAATTACTACCCAGCTCGAGGGTCACTAGTGGAACATCTGCAATCCAAATAAAAATGTTGTTAAAAATCTAAAATAAAATGTAATACTGATGGCCCCAGCTCCAGTTTGGTTAACTTCATGTCGCATCGTCGACGTCCTGCGGCGTGCTCGCGGGTTCTGGCGGAATTGGAAAAGTTTGTCACACACACGCGGCGACCAACACCTAAGTACACAGCGGCGGTGGTGGCGGCAAGGAGACAATGTAATCTTCCACCCAAAGAGGATACAAAGGATTTCGCTCTTTGAGTTATCGACATCGTCGTTTTCGTCGTGCCCCAACGCTGCCGTCCCCACATCCGCATCCACTCGGATGCGGCCACCGACCGCCGTCGCGCCGCAGCCACAGCCGCCGACGTCGATGCTGATGGGTAAGTAAAGACTCCTTGGCTGCACCGCGCGCTTCCTCTGCCTTCGTTAACGAACAAACTAATAACGCGACCAGACAAGCGCAGACCATACACGAGCGCCGTTCTGACAAATCCTAACCAAACTTAACAATTACCGTAAATTTACGTACTTGTTCGAAAAGTTTCATCGCATAAAATCTCACATTTTAAATATATATTGTTTTAAAATGAGTTTAATATTTTGTTGTGAGATGTTGTGTGCAAGGACCCAAACTATTTTAACTAACAACCAACAAACAAGCCGTAGCCGAAGTGGCGCACAACTTCGTAATATGATAATAAAGTATCCGGCTCTCTATATATCGGAGGCGGTTGCGGCGGCGCACGCCAAGTCCATTATAGTTTTAAATTGTAATTAGTTTAAGTGTGCTGTGAATTTCACCAAGTTGAGAGTACGGTGCGGTTAAACTAAACTAATATGCAACAAAAATCACAGCAAACAAAAAAGAAGATAAAATACCCGAACTTTTAGCTGGGGACCTAAATAAATACGTGGAATATAGGTTAGGAATGAGCCCAACCGTCCAAAAACGCACTTAGCGTAAAAAATAGTGTTCCATTTGCTAAATTAATATAAATACCGCAAAACTTTCGCCTCCACGTGGGGACGTAATGGCAAAAATGGCGAAAAAGAATCAAACACAATTCACTTAAAGTAACAAAGGAAGCAAATTCATCCTGTCGAATGGCTAGGCTACCTTCGACGTTGTTATTGCCGGGGTGGCCACCGGCCGGATGACAAAAAGCGCAAACTTTTCCCGCCGCACGGTGCCGAAAAGTTTCCGATAGGAAGCCAGTGGAACGCGGTTCAGTTTAGCGAACGATTTCGGCCCCAGAAACTTTTCCGCCGAGAAAGAAAAACAAAAAAATCAGCAATGTCAGAGCAAACAAGCACTCTTTCGGATTTTAACTTGATCAAGTCAAGATGTAAAAAAAATTAATCATAGCACATGTTTAAAGTTCCACATTGCGACGTTTAATTCGGATCGAATCTTTGGGTCCCGCAAGCAGCAAACAAAAATCAACTTGACGAAGAAAGTACTTTAAAGAGAGGCTAGCGTAGGAGGAACGGATTGATGTGGAGAAACTTACGATGTATATCGAGTTTCCAGCCATCCTCGATGCCACTGTCGGGTATCTCCTGCAGCTGACCACGACAGGACAAATATTTGCCGCCGTCGTCCACCGAGGGCACGAACGTCAGCACACTGGTGGTCGTGTTGCTGTCCGGACTCGTCTGAAACAAATAAAACGCCAGAATAAATACGCGCAAGCACACGACTTCAAAAACTTCACTACACTACACGAGAGAATAAGTCTAGTCCCGTCAAAGTTAAGCGCTAGCGAAAATAGTCAAAATGGCAGCGGGGACGCCGAAGAAAAGATTAAAGCAAGATCGTATCGCGGAACGCAGCTGGAAAACCAAACGCAGACGAAGAAAACCCGCTTTTTATTTAGTTTTCGTGTGTATTTAGACACTCCTCATGACTATACCAAGTGTCACAAGTCAATAAACCGTGATTTATGCAATCAATTTGATGAATCTGACAGGATTAACCTTGCGGTTAAGAAAGCAATTTTGAATTTTTAAATTACATTTCTAAAATTAGGGAAGTTTTTCGTTTCGGCTTGTTAGCAAAAGGCTTCAACACTTTGTATAAATTTAAACAGCATTCTGTGACAGAGAATTCGAGCGCTGGCCTCCAGGCCCGGAATCCGGAAACTAATAAAAATGCAGAAAAACTCATTTGGAAGTTTTTCTCTCATCGTCTCTCGTTGTTGTTGTCGCGCCGTGCCGTCGTTTCGCGCTGCTTGTTTAACACTCTGCGAGTGCTTTTGACATTCCCATTTTAACGCTCACTTCATTGCAATCGCAGCGCGAAATCTCACAACCTTCACGACTCCTACAGCTCCCAAAACGCACATGACACCATACTCTAAGTCTGGAGTATTTCGTGTTTACACAAATTTATTTACTATATCATGTAGCAAAAGGCGTAAAACTTTGTTACCTGACTCCAGAAATAAATGTAAGTAAAAATTATTGACTTGCAGTTTAATTACCAATTACCACTTTATGAAATAACCAGCAGAACGAAGCAATGCCACAGAGAAGTAGCGTAAAACAACGTCGTTGTAATTTCCGGTTTGGGAGCCGCGACCGCGTTTAACGCCTCGGGGCACCTTGCAGCGCCATTTTGTAATTGTGCCAGTTTGCCATTTATATTGCATTTTAATCGCGTCTCGCTTCTATCCACCAACGACGAAACATCGTAACTTAAATTTACTCTTGCACCATACTGCGTTTTTATTCTTTCTATTTGCAAAACAAAGAAATATAAATTGCGTGCATAAAAAGTTGCCTATACTTAGAGCTATATATTTAAACTGAGTGTTCGAAATAACAAATGTTCCCAGGTTTGTTTTCGTTGTATCCGAGTACTTTGCGTTCGTGGAGATTGTATAAACAAATTTCGAATAAATTTGAATAAAATCCATTTCTGCCAGGACATACGCTCAATATATCGCGATATTATTTCGTGTCACGCGACTGCTCGCAGTCTCTTCCAAGCATTTGCGAGACCTGCGTGCGCCCGTTCACCTAATATAAATGAAAAATAGAAAATCGGAGTTAAAGTTAGATCTTTTGCGCAGAGGCGGACGTGCCGGGCGTCGGCATTGTCGCGCGTCGGGACGCTTTCCTCGTACAATGCCGCGCCGCCGATTGAAAGGCGGACACGTCCGGGATATATTCGACGAAATGGGAAAATAGCATTTCCGGTTGCCGGCAAACTACACATCCATCTTGTGGCCATTGCAATGCAAGTGCATCCCCGGACTCAAAAAACAATCAAACAAATATTAAAGTAATAAACAGCGATGCAGGTTATGTCACAGTCGGTGTTGGTTTAGGCTAGGTTATGTTATTACACTGGCATTGATTTTAACAAGCGTTTTTCATTGCATTCTCGTTGTTTGCTGACTGGTATTTACGTGGGCCGCGTGATATATTGAGTGTTGGCGGTTTTTTTTACTAGCGGTCGGTATGCGCAAAAGGCGCATAAAAATTCCATCCGCATTACCGTCACGACCACACCGCCAGCACGCGCGCACGCCTCGCACAATAAACTCGTTCCTACATAATAATTCTCGTTTGCAAGAATGCAAAAACCACCACAGGAATTCTGGTATTCGCCGCACAAACAAAAGAAAACAAATTCAGCCAACATAACCTATTGTATCATAACCTAACTTTACAACCATTTGGATTGGCTATTATTGGTGCAATATTCTTGTTGGTATTTAATATATATCCGTTTATCAGTTGATCGGAGATCTGGAAATCATGGAATTAAGGAGCATCGAATATAGAATCGGTACGTGCCGGCGATGTAATCGATACAATCGCGCGGCGATATTTATTAGATCGGGTCGCGTCCGGGTCGGGCGGTCGGATTGTCGGCTGGGTCGGTGGCGGGCGGCGGCGGCGCTCGACTTTCCTTATCATTCATTCGCCTCGTTCGCTCGCCCGCCTGCCGCCATTAACATTTCGCGCGCGCCACCACCATAATTCTATCTATTCCCCAGTACATCGATATAAATCAAGCGAATAAACAAACGACAAGCGCAAGAAGCCGCGCCAGCTGAAAGGTACAACTTGACAAATTCACTTTATACTTTACACAAAACCCACACAATCTCAATAAACAAATACTGATACAGATATGACTTATTTTCCATTAAAAAGATTTATTTTCTTTTTACTTTAGAAATGAAACACTTTGTAGATTGTGTATCGTTGCTGTTGTGGGCCCCTGGCGAATATCGTTCAAACCGTCGTCGTGACTTTGTGAAATCGAAACGATTCGACAGTTTGCGTCCGGATTGCTAATGTTGGATGTGGAGGTAGGTGGTTGATAGAGGTAGAGTTAGAGGGTTGGAAAATGTGGAGTACGCAAGCAACAGTGACCAACGTCCGGCGCACGAAAAGAAGTCGTAAACCTTTCGCAACCCTTGTTCGAATTGAATTTATTGCGGACTGTCGCTTGTTTCAATTTCAATTTTTATCACCTGGAAAATACAATTTCACTACCTACACACGGGATGGCATTCTCAGGCGGTGGCTATTTGTTATTTTTACGGGAGTTCAATTTACTGCGCCGCGCAGAACTGGCGGACAACACGCGATATCACGGAGAATTTACAACTAATAATTTTTGATATTTTATGGCAGACAATATATACTCGCCATTTATTTCACAATATGATTGGCGATTATGCGCATTGTTTGTGCTGCATAAATAACACATTTAATGCCTCCAGTGAAGAATCAAGGTCTAACAAGTGCAAAATCAGGTTTTTTCTTGAAACAAATTTAATTTGTCAAATAAATTTTGTTGTGAATATGATTATGATGAATTAATTATAGAAACAATTGGCAATTATCTTTCCACGTGTTCTACTTGAATGTACAGCTTCCAAAACACCTTCCAAAGTGATTTCAACCAAAAGTCCAGTTTAGATGCAATCAACTTTGAAGGATATCGACAGCAGCACCTCACACAAGTTCCATCTCAAAGCAAAATCAGCTTTGTCCTTGGACGTCTTGGTCCTTTGGACTTTTCGTCATGTCAACCGCAAGTCAATAAAACCATGACGTGCGGACGCGGCGGCAATTCCGCAAGTTTAATAGACTTTCGGAGCCAAAGCGGGCAAAGGATTGGGCGGACGATCGGGATCCCGACGCCGGGTGTAAGTGCGCGCGACGGTCGCAGAGATTGGATCCAATTATTTGTTCGGCGGGATTATTTCGCTAATAATTATCCGGCGTGCGAGCCCGGAAGACCCGGAAAGCGGCGCGCAACGCCTCTCGCAATACCCTCCGGAGGATATACTTCTGTATGAGCGGAATCCGCTCGGTGCAAAAATAAGGGTTGATAACTTTAATTTAACGATTTTGATTTTTATTCCCCTCTGCATTTATATTTTTTATCACCTAATCGTATTTGTATTTATTAGCGGCGTAACGAGCATTTATTATACTTATTAAAATTCGGGGAATGTTGTGGGTGGAAAATTGCATTGCGAAACTCGAATGGGACATGTTGTGTAGAGCGCGAACAATAAATGAGCCTTTTTTATTATACGTACGACACGGACAAATTTCCATAAACGCACGAGCGCGTGAAAAAAAATGTTTGTCGCATCGTTTAATGTCGAATGAAATTTCGTCCTCGTCGTTCTACTGTAGATATTTATTGCAACTTTATATCAAAATTTTCTTATGTATTTAATTTTTACTGAAATTGTCAAAAATTTTAATCATAGTATTGATCCAAAGCAGATGTCTGATACACCGCGTAGACTATGAATATTATAGTAATGTTTGCACATTTTTGAATAAATTTGCCGAAAATCAAGCCGACACCATCCGCACACATCGCCTAAATATTTCAGCGTTTCGCGTTTCGGAAATTTCCCCGCGTAGGTAATTTGCCCGAGAAGAGAGCGTGTGTTTAATGTTGTAACACGTAATGTTGTATCCGTCGAACCACCAAACCTTTTTCATATTATATTCCAACATTTTCTTGCTGCCATGCTGTTAACACCGCAACCACCAAAGGATAGGCAGGGTACAGATTGTACCAGCACAGCAACCCCTCCAATTTGTTTCTGCGCATGTTTACACGCATACATATTTGATTTTTTACACGACTATGATTTTTTTATCATAAAGTCATAATTCATCCTTCATTCCGGATACGTTTTCCACTTTGACTGCTAAAACGTGCCACGGCGGTGGATAAAAACAAAATAAATATGAAAATATATCAAATAAATATACGCATACGTTCATAAAGTTGTAAAATGAATGCGCACCAAACTTGTTTCACGACGTGCTTTAATATAACCTTAAAATCGCACGCCATCGACACCATTTTGACAGATGTCAATTTAATTTGCGGTTATATGGCGGTACTTTTTGCTCGTGCGCATATTTTATGATTAATTTTGCTTTAGAAAACAAGTTCAAAACGCAATTTGATGTATTTTACGAGGACATTATCAGTCACAGTCGGGCAATCCAATTTTCAGATGTGAATATATTATTTATTTTTATTCGCTCACTTTTATATTTCATTTTTTACGTGTGAGTCGTAAAAAGTTTGGTTTAGTTTTGTGGATGACATTTTCTAACATCAAAAATCTAGAAAATTACAAAGATGCAATTTTAAA